GGGAGTAGTCGTCAACGACCACCAAAAAGAAACGCTCACGCTCAGGGCCAGGGCGAGGAGAGGGGCCCCAGACGTCCAAGTGCAGCGTCTCAAAAGGCTCGGTGGCCGGACGAAGGGAGGAGGAGTGAGGGGTGGCGCGCAGCCGACCCTCGACGCAAGGACCGCACGGTGGTGCAAGAGACGGCGGCAGCGACGGCAAGACACGCGGGAGACCTAAGACCAGACGCTGACTAGACATAGCACGCAGACGTGGAAGAGAAGGGTGTCCCAGCCGGTGGTGCCACAAAACGGTGGGGTGGGCAAGCGACCGACAGGAGCACGACGCAGCGACCGGACTAGACGGAGGAACCTGACAAGACACAGCTACCTGGGGGGACGGAGCAACCTGGTGAGACGCGAGGACTCGAACGGGAGGCAAAACAGGGGCCGGGGGCAGGAGGGGCGGCTGTGGCTGCGGCTGCGGCTGCCGCCGCTGCGGCTGCCGCCGCTGCTGCTGCTGCGGCTGCTGCTGCTGCTGCTGCTGCAGTCGCTGCTGAGCGCGCGGGCCAGTGTGAAGAGTGTAGAGACCGGAGCCCGGCTCAGCAGCAAAAGTGGCGAGGGGCTGGTAAGAGTCCCCGTCAACACACACCGCAGTCTCTCCAGAAGGCTCAAACCACACACCCACGTGCTGACTCACGAGGGGTCGCACGCCCACCAAGTTCCGGGAGAACGAGGGGACGTGAAACCCAGTGAGAGACCCAGAAGGAGCAGCCGGACACGGCAAGGTGGTAGTGTGACGCGCGGTGACTGGTCCCGAAGTGGGATCAGCCAGCGCCACAGAAACAGGCGCAGGAAGAGGCGTAAGTGTCGTGCTGTCACGAAAGAAGCAGTGAGAAGCTCCAGAGTCCAGCGTGAACGACAGCGAACCGTCCTCTGAGGTAGCCGCTGGACTAGAGTCTACACAAGAACCTACACTAGCAACAGGCAACTGAGCAAGGCTAGCACCTAAGCTAACAACACCAGAGTAAGCAGAGTCAGAAACACTAGAGTCAACAACAGCATACATAGCATGGGGAGTACCAATCAGATCAACTAACTGCTCAGCAGACATGCCCCACAGAGCGGAGCCGTAGCGCTGAACAAGAGGCAGCCAGTCAGGGGCAGGAGCACCAACCCCGTAGACCAAACGAACCGTGTCAGTGAGCTGAGCAAAGCACTGACCAGGGGGGTGAAACCGGCCACAAGGGTGGCCACGACGAGGGCCTGTCAGAACCTGGTAGGTGCAGGGAGTGTAAGCAGCACCGCGCTGGGTCTGACGCAGCCCCGACCCTGGAGCCAGCTGCTGCCGCTGCTGCTGCTGAGGCTGCTGGGAGGAGAGGGGCTGCTGGTGCTGCAGAAGCTGCTGCTGACGCTGAGCCTGGTACCACGCCGCTGCTCCACCAACCGGGGCAGGAAGTACAGGAGGCGACTGACGAACTCGGGCGTCGCCACCACCAGCAGGCGCAGTGGAGTCACCAGTCACTGCACGAGGCGCCTCTCCAGGCCCTGAACCTCCACCGCTGCCAGGCGCAACGCCACCTCCACTACCTCCGCCTCCACCTCCACTACCACCACCAGAACCGCCTTTCTTGCCACTCCTACCGCGGGACCGCGACGCAGTCGTAACAGCAGCTGCAGTCGCGTCAGTAGCGGCAGTGGCAAGTGAGGCAGTAAAGGTGGGTAACTGCGGGACTGTGCACCCGTGGAAGAGTGGGGGGGGCACAGCACCAGAGGCAGCGGCTACCGAGCGAAGGTTGCTCTCGACGTCCTTGAGTGCAGACTCAAGGACATCGACGGTGAGCTCACTAGGGTGCTTCAGCAGAAGCGCATCGCGAACGGAGGCAAGGCGGTCAGGGAGGCTAGTGGCGATGAAATAGATAGTAATCGCCATAGGGGGAGGAAGCAGTGCAAGCTGTGCCTCAGTGCAAGCAGCGCGGTAACTAGCGTCGAGCGAGCGGAGGTGAGCGATCAAGTCAGCAGAGCGCTCAAAAGACGCTAGGTCAGGAAAAAGGAACGGGAGGAACAGGCGGCCAAGAGAGACAGCAGCGGGAGAAGAGTAGCGGGCCTTAATCGCAGTGAGGTACTCAGCAGCGGTGCGAACCTGAGTGAAGTGAACCTCCTCAGACTCAGGGAGGAGGCTGCTGAGCGCGATGCAGGCCGCAGCGTCACGTGACGTCCAAGCCGTCTGGTCAGCTCGCTGAGTGGCAAAGCGGGCTCTAGCGGCGTCGTCAGGGGCAGGTCCTAAAGGCGTAGGGTCGGGGGGCGCAGGTAGGGCACCAGTAGCGTGCGCCCAGAGGGTCTCGCCTGCCTGGACCTGACTCTCTAACAGACGGCGAGCACGAAGAAGCCAGACGGAAAAATCAAGAGGTCTACCGTCAGCGTCGAAACGAAGCACACGCGGAGTCGCCATAGCGAGAACTAACGCTAGGGATACAGTGGCAGCGGAAGAGCAGGCTAGGGTTAAGACGACGGGCTGGGGAAAGGGGCGAGCCGCTACAGGGGAAAGGGCGGGCCGCTACAGGGGAAAGGGCGGGCCGCTATAGGAGGGGAAGGGGCGGGCCGTGACGGAGGGAAAGGACGGGCGAGACGCGACGGGGGGAAAGGGACGCAACGGGGGAAAGGACGGGCGGGACGCGACGGGGGGGAAGGGGCACGACGAGGGGAAAGGACGGACGGGACGCGCGGGTCGACGGGCAGCAGGGGGAAACGCGGGTCGACAGGCAGCGGGGGGAAGCGCGGGTCGACGGGCAGCGGGGGGAAGCGCGGGTCTACGGGCGGCGGGGGAAGCGCGGGTCGACGGGCAGCGGGGGGAAGCGCGGGTCGACGGGCAGCGGGGGGAAGCGCGGGTCGACGGGCAGCGGGGGGAAGCGCGGGTCGACGGGCAGCGGGGGGAAGCGCGGGTCGACGGGCAGCGGGGGGAAGCGCGGGTCGACGGGCAGCGGGGGGAAGCGCGGGTCGACGGGCAGCGGGGGGAAGCGCGGGTCGACGGGCAGCGGGGGGGAGCGCGGTTCGACGCGACGGGGGGAACGGGCGCGACACGACGTGGGGGGGGAACGCGACGCGACGGGGGGTAAGGGCGGGCGCTACGGAACGAGGGGAACGGGTGGCGCGGACGGGCGCTAGGATTGGCGCTAGGCTCGGCACTACGCGCGGTAACAACGGAACCGGGACGAATGAGAGCTAGGATCAGGCTCGGGAGGCTCGAACGGAGAACGGAGGAACGGGATCCCACAGGATCCTAACCTATCTGATACCATGTCAAAATGAGGAATGGATGATGCATTGATGTTGGTTGGGGTACATATAGCTAACCCTAAGTTTTGTACCCCCTAAGACAAACCTCACTATAGGCTACAACATTTGACAGTATCTTGACTCTTAGGTTTTTCTTCAGATATACAAATTGCGTATTTGCTGGGTTCCAATATAGTGGAAAGTACCATGAGATGTGTGTATAGTACTGCTCTGGCCAAAGCTTGCATCCAAAAGGGGGTGAATTCTTTACCACACTGATTGCCTCCCGAAATTTTGTCCCCTTCAGAACCTGACTGGCACCCTAAGAGGGCCCGAGTTAGTTTGTTCCAGTCCAACCAAACCACATTTCATGTTATTGAGGATGACGCGCAAGAAAATAAGAATAGTGAATTAAAATTTTTCCCATTAGTGTTCCATCCATGAAAGCCATAAACCGTAAGGTCCCTGAGGAAGTTTGGATTGCGAAGTGTTTTACATGCCTACCTCGGTAGAAAATATGGGTTCCTGGCCTCTGAGGAAGGAAAAAAGGAAGGTAGATTGGTATTAGGATTGATTGACTAAGTTAGTTACATTGCAAGGCATGTCATCGCTGATCAAAACGGAGCAGCCGTTACCCTTTATGGAAACGATACGTTGGGCGACGAGACGACTCAGCAGAAGCACCTGCGACACCTCCTTGCAACTTCGTCACTAGGACGACGAAACGCAATCTTTTTCGCGCGACGCACGAATCCCAAGGCTGATGTCTTCGCGGTTTGCCGTTGGAAAACAATTTTTGCACCCAACCCAGTCAAGTCACCTGAACTGACCGGGGCAGTCAACGGCCGCCGTGACTGTCAAAAGTCAATTGCCAGGCCGGAAATTTTTAGTCGTCACTGTCGGAACTTTTTCCTCCCCCACAACACCACCGCCTAACTTCTTCCTCCTGCTTGCAAATTCTCCGATCTTCGCATTTCGTGAAATCCGTCGAGCGTGGAATTCCGCGACTCGATCGGAAAAAGCTCGAGTCAACCGGAATTCGGCCCTCTTGCACTGGACCTATTCTTCATTCACCGTCCATCCTCCATACCCTCTTCTTCACTATCTTCCCTCAATCTTACTGCTGTACGTAGTACGTACTGCTGTTTCTTGTGCGCTTTACTTTTACTACCCCGACTCCAATCCGCAAACTGCAGTTTTGAACAATAACAACTACCGTCTCAAATTCAGCAGGACCACATAGAAATTCCAACATCAAGTATTCGAGCGACACAAATACTACAGCGTTTCCCCTAGTAAAAGACGAATAAGCATCAGGTGCCAATGGGGGGCTGCGTGTCGATCGAGGAGGACTCTAGAGGCAGAGTGGGGCCAGCATCTTGCCGCTCATCATCTCGCGCAACCCACTCAAACCGCGTCGCACCCCAAAGCCCCTCCACTGCAAGCAAGCGCTCGGCGCGCAAGTCCTCCCCGATGCGATCCCCCTCTTCCGCTTCCGCGTATCGGTCCGGTGGGCTCCTCCCCAAATCTAACGAGAGCAACGTTAGTGCCGCAAGTGGCGGCAGCGGAAGCGGCCGCAGATCCTGCCCGCAAACGCCGCGCGGGGGTTCCGTGGGCGGCTTCCGCATGCCACCTGGAAGCGGCGAGCTGGGGTCCGGCCGACGCGGCGGGCCGCTTGCGGATCGAACGGCTCTGACGAACGGCGGCGTCGCCTCGTCATCACTGCGTGAATTCTCTTACCAGGAGCTATGGATAGCGACGCGGAAATTCGAAAAAGAGGGGAAGCTGGGGGAGGGCGGATTCGGAAGCGTTTTCCGAGGAACTATCGAAGAGTACGTTTGCGCTTCAGGCGCGGGGAGCGGGGAGGGCGGAAGACGGAAATTGCAGGTGGCGGTGAAGGTGCTAAATCAAGGGGGGCAGCAGGGGGAGGTGGAATGGAAGACGGAGGTTCGGTACCTGAGCGAGCTTCGGCACCCGAACCTGGTGCGGCTGGTTGGATAATGCTCAGACGGGCATCACCGGCTGTTGGCGTACGAGTATCTTCCGTACGGCAGCCTCGAGCGATTCCTTTTCACCCGTGAGTTTTTCTTCCCAATCGCGGTGACTTTTGAGTCGACTCAAAAGTCACCCCGTGAGTTTTTCTTCCCAATCGCTCTCCGATTTGCTGTCCCAATTGCCGAATCGCTTCGCCGTCGTCGCCGTCGTTGCTATGTAGTTGTCGCCGTTCTCTCATCTTTCCCTTCTGTTTCTCCTCTTCGATCTTTCCTCCTTCATCTTCCCCCATTTATCCTCTCGTCATTTATATTCCTGTCTTTGAGTCAGGCTCAAAAACAGACCCTTTCCTCACCCGCCCCTCGGTCTTCCTGCCAGGCGCCAACCAGCCGTTGCCATGGGCGGTGCGAATGAAGGTGGCGCTACATGCGGCGCAGGGCCTGGCGTATCCTCCTCCCCCCCCCCCCCCCCCCCCCCCCCCCCCCCCCCCCCCCCAACCCCCCCTTTTCTTGCTCTTCTTCTCATCCCCAGTCCCGTTCCCCACTTGCTCCCCTCCTCCCCTTTCCCCCTGCCAGGCGCAATACAGCCCCTGCCATGGGCGGTGCGAATGAAGGTGGCGTTGCACGCGGCTGCTCGTCCCCTCGCCTTCATTCTTGTTCTCATGTTGCACCCACCTCCTCCCCTTTTCCCCCCGGCCCCCCCCTTCCCCAGGAGCCATCCAGCCCCTGCCGTGGGCGGTGCGAATGAAGGTGGCGCTACACGCGGCGCGGGGCTTGGCGTATCTGCACGAGGAGGCGGACCGGCAGATCATCTACCGCGACTTTAAGGCGTCCAACATTCTGCTGGACGAGGTGCGTATGGCGTACACAGTGAATGTGTGACAGTTGCGCATGTGACGCCTTATATCACGAGTAGGTTGCACGGCAGATCATCTGCCACAACCCAAACCTCTCAATGTGTTGGTTCCCACGCCCTTCCCCTATGCTCAAATTCCCATTTCACGCCTCCCCCATTCCCCCACTATTTCAGGACTTCAACGCAAAGCTCTCTGACTTCGGGCTGGCAAAGGACGGTCCCGAGGGCAACCAGACGCACGTGTCAACGCGGATCATGGGCACCTATGGCTACGCCGCACCCGAGTACATGATGACTGGCCATCTCACCGCCAAATCAAGAGTTCACAGACACTCATCCCTTCCTCCTTCCCTCCTTCCCTCCTTCCCTCCTTCCCTGCATGCTACATCTCTACCTCATCCCCTCCCTCAGGATTTCAACGCGCAGCTCTCTGATTTCGGCCTGGCAAAGGACGGTCCCGAGGGCAACCAGACGCACGTGTCAACACGGGTAATGGGCACCTATGGCTACGCTGCACCCGAGTACATGATGACTGGCCATCTCACCGCCAAGTCAGACGTCTACAGCTTCGGAGTCGTGCTGCTCGAAATGATTAGCGGGCGGCGGGCCATGGAGCCGGAGTTCCCGAGGCGCCAGCAGAATATCGTCGAGTGGGCACGGCCGTTTCTGGTCGACCCGACGAAGATGCTGCTATTGGTGGATCCGAGGGTGGGTGGCGAGTATTCGGTGAAGGGTGCGCAGCGGGCGGCGGTTTTGGCACGCAAGTGCTTGAATAAGGACCCGCACGCACGGCCTCTCATGTCAGAGGCGGTTCGGGTGCTATCTTCAATTCAAAGCTTGACGGATTTCGCGAGCAAGCTGGAGCAGGCTCAGCGGCTACATGGTGCTTAGTTCAGTGCTCCTTGCTGTGGGAACCAGGTGTCCCTGCAGAGCTGAAAGTGCTGGATCTAGAAACAAAGGCTGGCTCCAGTTGGGGCTATCTATACTGTTGCTGGACTACCTGTGAATCGCACAGCTTGCATCCTGCAGGCAAAGCAGTGACATGTTAGTGCTCTTATGAGCGGTCATGTAGGAGTAGTAGAAGCTTTGCTTGTTGCAAAGCACTGTAGCTACGATCTGTTGGTAATATGTTGCGATATTGGCTCAAAAACATCAATGACCGGTTTAGTGAGAATGGTTTAACCCCACGGCATATACAACGCCCGCATGTTCATTGCTATCTTCCTTCTTGCACCTCCAATATATCTCAAATATTCACATTCCTTCTGATACATGCGGTCTGTTATTCCGCAATCTGTCATACATCCTACGCCCCATGCTCTTCCTAAGCTATGGTATCAGCTTCCCTACATATCCCCATGCGTTTGAATGTGTTACCAAATTCTAGCGTGCCGTGGTGCTCACCAGAACACCACTGTTAGTGCTTCATTTTATTCATCCACATTCACACCACACTGTTAGTGGTGGAAGACACCACCCAAGCATTCTGAATAGTGGTTGGTTATGGTGATTATTTATGTGCCTGACGAAGACCCTTACATGCTCACATACTCTATTGCATTGGTACCAACTCACTTTGATTCTTTGTCAGGTGTTTTATGTTTGCAAATCTCACACGAATACACTGCCACAACAGATAAACAGTGCAGTGCTGTGTTCTGGGCAAGGATTGTTGCAAGTGAAAGATTCTCATGAACCTGCATAAGGGAGTACAGTTCACACCTCTCATTGCAAAGACACGGGGATGCCTGGGGGGGAGCTTTGGCCGGTGGCTTAAGAAGAAGAAAGGGGCGACGAGGGCTATTGCAAAGGGTTTTTTCTGCTTATTTACTCGGGTCACTTAAAGCAGCCATAGGGGTGGCTTTGCAGCGGGCTCAGGCGCGTGTGATCTTGTTACGCGCGGCGTCGATGATGAGAGGCCCAGATGTTGTTTGGGTGGAGCGGGAGGATATTGAGGAGGAGGTGGGGTGGGATGCTACGTGGACGTATGCGCCCTACTTGGTGGATATGCGGGTGTAGAGGGTGGGTTTAGGTGGGGGTTTTTTGTTACATGGGGTGTCTTGATGGGTTTCCCCTATCTGTTGTGCTGTTGGGGGTTAGCTGGCGACTGTATTTTCCCTTTCCCTTTCCTTTTCCCTCTTCTTCTTTCTACTTTATTCTTCCACTCTCTCTTTTTCTCCTCCCTTTCCGTCCCCCCTCAAATTTCTTGCGTAGTATGCTGGTGGCGGTGTTTTGTGTATTTGCCTTTATTTTTGGAGCTCCATGAACCTGCATCATTTTTTTCCATATTTGGACCGTGTGTTTAGCTAAGGATTTCGACCAGTTAGGGCTGCTTTACGGCCCAGTTTTTTTTAAAATGCAGTAACCCCATTTCAACAGGCCAGAGTTTTTGGTTCAGGGACCAGGGCAAGCTGACAAACAGCGGAACTGCCAGTTCTGTGGTTCACGTGACGAGATTCACCGAGGGCCTCTCTCAGCCACTTAGACAGCCCCGAAAGGATGGCATTCAGAAGAATGCTTGCAAGGGCAACTGGAAACCAATTGGAGGAGCTTGATTGCTTGTGTGGTGTTCAATTTATTGCGCTTCGAAAACGCAGAAAACGATTTTCCACCACATTTTTCTATCCGTAGATAAGACGGGCACCGAGGCTTTCCACTTTCTCGCAGCACAGTTGCGCAGCAATTGCTTTTATCACGTGACGGATCCGAAAGGCACGATTGTCCCTTTTTAAAAGAATAATCAAGCCACGGAGAGGCCAAGATGAAACAAGATAGGAGATTTTGGTGACGCATTTGCAGTCGATAGGACTCAGCAGTTCTGACCGAAAATGTTACGAGAAGATATGCCATACGTAATGGCAGATTCGGTATCCAAATGACGCTGGCATCTTCACGTGGTCGCCAGCGTTCTGGCAGGACTCAGGTCAGGTCACAAGCGACTCAAAAGGATGACGAAGGTTTCTCACCGCCATTTCGGCCTTCCAACAGACACGAAAGCACAGGCTGGCCCGGAAACTCGTCTGTGCCCAGATTCGTGTACAGTTGGTGTAACATCGAATAAGGCAGCCCAAGCGTTTGGTCTCCCCTTTATAAATCTAGGCCGTCCATCCGTACACCCTGGCACTCTCGTTACGGCATTCGTTTTGAAATGACAAGGCACTGATGTCATTTCCCAGAAGCGCTGGACACTCGGCTGAAACCCTAGCTCCATACAGCGCTTCGGAGCTTTCCTCCGCACTTTTTCGCCATATCTTCCCGTTCAGCCCGCGATAAAGCGATATTTTGCTGAACGCCGAATGGATGGCTCAACACCCTGCCGCACTGGATTGCACTTTTTTGCCCGCCAAGCCCGCGTGCCCATCTGTGGTTGGATATTTTCTCCTCATCTCCTCCCATCCCCGGATTCCCTCGAGATTGTGTGAAACATTTCCCCAGTCCGCCCGCACCGCCTTCTCCACATTCCCCTTTCTCGTTCTGCTTCTCTTCCGTTCCGCATCCTTTCTCTGTTCTCTTCCCCAGTCTGCCCTCCCCCCTTCCCCCTTCCCCATCTTCCTTCCGCCATTCCCCTGCCCCAACCAACTGACCTTTTTCACTTCTTCCGCTTGCATGCTTGCTTGCTTCAGGATAAGGCTGACAGTCTTTCCCTGCCATTCGTTTCTTTGATTCACCAAAACTTCAGCCAGCTAGGAAGTCCTCAGGTCACTTGTACAGCAAAACTGGATCTAGATTGATTTCGTATGCGGCTTTTCACTTGCGCAGCTCATCTCCTGTTTCGGTCCTAGAATATGCTCGAGATCCGTTGTTACGAAAATCACGTAGAATATCTGTTGACATAGATTTCCGCTGCTAAGAGTGAATTACAGAGCGTTAGCAAATGGGTCGTCAAAATAGTAATGGCGGCCGTAGCCGCAAGGATCAACCCGAGGCTGTCGCGCTTTTTCCGCCGATACATGTTAGCCATGCGACAGCGGCGTCGGGCCCCAAGGCACCTCCGCGAAACAAGATGGCACTCTACGAGCAGGTTTCCGTTCCGTCGAAGCGATTCCGGCCGACGGCTCACCCTCTTGGAGGACCAACTATGAACGCACCCTCGACGTTTCATCCCATGCAGAGCGGGGTACGTGCTCCTTGCGAACGATGCTCGCCAAAAGCGATGCTAGGTTCCAGCGACGCACGCCGACTGTTCCTTTTCAGAGTCTCAGAAAGTCTTCGACTCTGTCCAATTTAGACCCGAGGTGCTCTGTAGTTAGCTATGTATGAATTTCAGTTCAAGAAAGTATTTTTGTCTGTATCGAGGGAGTCGCCAGCAAGTATAGCTTGCAAGTTTTTTAGAAACTATTCTCATCCTTTCCGTGCTCCTTCTAGATTTCATTTTTTGGTCAATTCTCCTCTCCCTTCCTTACTACCCCCTGTCCTGGCCTTCCCATCGACAGTCGACGGTCCCGTTGATGCCTCCCAACTACGAGAGTAAATTCTCCTACGCTCCGTACGCCGCCCAGCAACAAGCGCAGCAACAGCAGCATCCAACAAACAGCTTCAAAACCCCGCCGCAGGCCGGCAGCATGCTTCAATCCCATTCCGGAATCGCCAGCAGCACGGGAAGCTTCTCCGAAGCCGCCGCCTTCCAAAGCGCCGGCCAGGCTGCCTTTGCCGCCTGCGCCGCGCACAGTGCCGGCGGCGGCGCTGGAACTGCCGCAGCTCGGCACGGCGGCGGAGGTGGAGGAGCAGGCGGCACGGGGAGCATCGTCCAAGGAAGAAGCGCTGGTGTTGGCGCGGGAGCAGGGACGGGAGCTGGAGCGGTGAGCAGTAATAGTAACAGCCACGGACAGTCGACTCGAAGCGACGCGGATCAATGGGCGTTCTGGGCTTGGCAGCAGCGCCACATGCCTTGGGGGAACGGCGCCTCCCCCAGCTCCCCCTCTCCGCCAGTCATGCCGCAAGCGTCCATGTCCCCCGCGAGCGCCGCCGCCGCCGCAGCTGCCGCGATGGCCGCCTTTGCCGGCGCCAGCAACAGCAAGGACGGCAGCACGGCGGCGATGTACCCGATGCAGGCGCTCACTGCGGCGTCGGGTTTGGCCGGCAGTCGCGGCGACCCGGGTGCGGCGGCGGCTGCTGCGGCGGCCATGGCGGCCGCCGGCGCGGCGTTTTTGAATTACGGAAGCGTGTCGCAAGTCGCTGGCATGGGCGCGGGTACAGGTTCCGGCGCAGGCGCAGGCGGAAGTGGCGCAGTTCCGCCGCTTACTCCCGGAACGTGGAATGGCGCATCGGCGGAAGGAGGCCTGGCGGGGCTGATGTCGAATTTCAGCTGGCCTGGATCGGGTAACCCGAATGCGTTACTTATGATGAGCCAAGCGCAAATGTTCGGCGGAATGGGCGGATTCGGAGGAAGCTCAGGCGCGGGGTCTCCGCCCGACCGCGGGTGCATACATGGAAAAGGGGAGGCGTCCGGGCAGCAGCAGCAAGGGCGGAGTCCGTCCGCGGCGGCTGCGCGTTCCGCCGCCAGCGAGAGGCTCGGGCGCAGGCGCGGGGAAGAGCGGAGCAGCCGCGGAGGACCCGCGCGTAGCGGAGTGGACGACGCGCGGAAAGGGGCGTTGCGGAAGAGCGCAAGCACGAGGTCTGCGGGGTCCTGGGGCCCAGCGGCCACTGCGCCTGCTGGTGTAATCGGCGGAGGCGGATGCGGAGGCGGCGGCGGAGGCGGAGGGGGAGGGGGAGCGGTTGGCGCGATGTCGACGACGAGTGGGCGGAGCATGAAGAGCACGATGAAGAGCGGGGCGCGGGGTGCGGCGAAGGGCGGAAAGGGGAAGAAGCGCAAGGAGATGGCGGCTGGTGAGGGTGCGGAGATTCTTACACAAGCGCAGCAGGAGCAAGCGCAGGAGCGCGCGGAAGGATCAGCGGGAGCAGCCGCGGAAGCAGCGGAGGGAGCGGGAGTGGGAGCGGGCGCGGGAGCAGCAGAAGAGGAGCTATTTCGGGGAATGGAGGTGCTTCGCGCTGCCGCCGTGGCTGCGCGGGAGGAGGAGAGGCGCGCGCGCGCCGCAACCGAGCATCCGGAGACTGGTCTTGGGTGCGCGGCGGATGCGGCGGCGGAGGCTGCAGCGCAGGCGGAAGGGGATGATGACGATGCGAGGATGGTACCTGCGCGGGTGGGTGCGGATGAGCGAACGGGGGCGGAGGAAGGAACGGGATTGGCGGAAACGGAGCACAAGGGGGAAAGCTTCGGGGAGCAGCGCGAGGCGCGGGCTCTAGGGCGCTTCCGCGCGGCTGCCGCCGCTGCTGCCGCTGCCGCCGCCGCAGGCGTTGCTGCTGCTGGGTGTGCTAGCAGTTACCATGGAGGGATGGTGGCGAGCGAAGGAGCATCCCTCCTCCCTGCTGCCGCCCCTGCGCTCCCTGCTCGTCCTGCATCTGCTGTATCCGCCCTTTTTCATTCTCCGGCCGCTGCTGTCTCTGCTGCTGGTACCCCATCTCCCGCTGCTACTGCTGGAATGCTGGCGATGGTGCTGGGGATGGCGGGAGGTGTGGAGGACGAGGAGGAGCGGTTCCGGTGGGAGAGCAGGAAGCGGAGCAGGCGCGCGGAGGAGGGGCGGGGGCTGGGCGCGGGGGAGGCGGATGGGGAGGTCGCAGGGGAGCGCAAGAGGGGGAAGGGGGAGGGTGCGGAGGGGAGAGTGAGAGGGGAGGGGAGGGAGGGGGTGGAAGGTAGGGAGAAGGGGGAGGGAAGAGGGGAGATGTGTATGGGTGACGTGGTGGGTGCAGTGGGGCAGAAGGAGTTTTGGCGCGTGAGGAAGGGCATTGTGCGGCAGCAACACATATTCTCCACTCAGTTGTTTGAGCTGCACCGACTGAACAGGGTGAGTTGGAATTATGTGTTGCCTGCTGCGCATTGTGGCTCCTCTATATCATATTTCATATTGTTTGCTTGTTTGTTTCCCATCCCTGCTTTTGGACTCAAGCACCTTTCTGTTTTTTTTCCCCCTCTGAATGTTTACAGGTGCAGCAGGGGCTGATGTGCCAGCCACTGAACACCAAAGAGGACCAAGCACAGGAAGACCAGGAGCAGCAGCAGCAGGAGGAGGAGCAGCAGCAGCAGCAGCAACAGCAGCAGGAGCAGCGAGCGCAAGCGTTGGTACCTGCTGCGCCTTGTGCCGATGCTGCTGATGTCGCCAGCAGTGCTGCTGCTGCTGCCCCCGCTGCAGTGGCTGGTGGTGCTGCTCATGCTGCGGCTGCTGATGCTGCTGCTACTATAGCTGTGACCACAGAGGAGCCTGTCGCCCAATCGCCGCGCCCCAGCCGTCGTGCTGGCAGCAGCAGCAGGGCGCGAGGAACCGCTGCTGCTACTGAAACCTGTTTCCCTCATGTTCTTGAGAAGTCGGCTTCAACGGGCGGCAGTGCGGGAGCCAACGCAGCTGCAACAACACCACCATCAGCAGCAGCAGCAGCAGCAGCAGCCACAGGTCCTAGCACAAGCGCCATGAAGCCGCCTCCTTCCCGGTCTCCCCACAGCCGCCCACCAGTATCCCCAGCATCCCGCCCCACCACCATTCCCGCCTTCCCTTCTTTCACGGACTCACCTGCTGCTACTGAAGGCTCCTCTGGAGCGTCTATGTCAGCAGCAGCATCAGCAGCAACAGCAGCCATGCCAGCGGCGCCTGTGGGACACACTCCCTTGGATTTGTCTGGTTATGCTGGGGCGTCTGGAGCAGCAGCTGCTGCAGCAGCAGCAGCAGCAACAGCATCAGCAAGCAAGGGCGGGGTTGCCGCCGGCTGGTCCTTCCCTCTTTACGCTCGCTTTGCCAAAAACGCCGACCCAGCTGCTGCTGCCGCTGCGGCTGCAGCTGCCATTGCTGCCGACGCTGCTGCTGCCAAACCTGCTGCCGCGCCTGCTGCACCTTCGGACAATGCCACTGCTGCCCGGGCAACTGCTGTCACCCCAGCCTCGTTCGGGTTCGTGACAGGCTCGGAATCTGCCGGACCTGAAGGCTCGGATGTGTTTGGCTTGAGCTGGGGTACCGTGCCTGAGTCGGAGGCTGGGGAAGGGGAGAGGAGGACGAAAGAGGCTGGAGGAAATTCATCGAAGTATGCTGCTATGCTTAGTGCCATGGGCCTCCCTGCTGATTTTACAATGCCTGCCAATCTGGGCATCCCTGCCAATTTTGGCATGCCTGCTAATTTCGGTATGTCTGGTCAAGCAGCCATGGCTGAGGCTATGGGCATGAGCTTTGGCATGGGTATGAACATGAATATGGGGATGGGTATGGGTATGGGGGCTATGGGCATGGAGATGGGTGCTACTGCTGGAGCAGGAGGGACTGCCACTGCTGCTGCGACTGCCACTGCTGCTGCGACTGCTACTGCTGCTGCTGCTGCTGCTGCAACTGCTGCTGTGACTGCTACTGCTGCTGCTGCTGCTGGTGGTGCCGGTGCTGGTGCTGGTGGTGCCGGTGCTGGTGCTGGTGGTGCAGGTGTGGGTGCATCTGGGGCAGGCCCATCTGGTGCAGGTGCATCTATGATGATGGATATGACAGCACTACACATGTATATTGCACAGCAGCACCGCATGCAGCAGCAGCTGCGCCAGCAGCTCTTTCAGCAGCAGCAGCAGCAACAGCTCCTGCTTCAGAGCCTAGGGGGACTTTTCCCTACCTTCCCTCAGGCTGCTGCTGCCGTTGCAGCCGCTGCTCCTGCTGCTGCTCCTGCCACTGCTCCTGCTGCTTCGCCTGATGCTGCTCCTGCTGATGGTCCTGCGACAGCTGCTTCCATAGATGAGAAAGGAGGACCCGCTGCCTCAAGTGCAGCAGCCTTTGCAGCATGGCGCTCTGCTGTGGCAGCATCTGCAAGAGGAATGGTGGGGGACAGGTCTCAGGTGAAATCTCAGGACAAGTTGTTGGAGAAGGCACAGAGAAGAGATGAAATGAACGACGGATCAAGGCATGAAGATCTAGAGCTTAGTCTTTTCCCCTCTTTTGGGAACACTCGGTAGTTTTTTTTGTTTGTGAAATGCCTTTGATTGCCTATTTGGCAGCCTTTGTGTGCATACTTTTGTAAGGCCGCTGTGATTCTCGTGTACGCTAGAAATCCTTTTCTGAAATTGATTGCTGTTCACGCATTTTTCCGCAATATTAGTGGTTCACGTTTTCCCGAGTCACATGATAATGCTGCTGTGGCGGCACACGCGTGATTGATGCTCTTCATCCACTGTGTTGGTCTCTTTCCACCCAATTTTTCGGCGTGAACTTCTTTCTCTCATTGTTGAAGTTGAGGAGCCAGGCATCTCGCTAAATTTAAGCCAATTTGACTTTTGGAGTGGGAACGGGCATTCGTACTTAATTAAATGTGGGTCCCGACATGGAATTTTGGGTACCCAATGCACAGCACATGAATGCCAGACAGAATCATTATCAGAACCCACATTGGAAACAGTATGATTATCATTTTTGCCGTTCGCTTTCTTAGATTGTCACGTGATGAATGAATCGCTTCGCATAAAAATATCTGCTGAACACCATCAGCGATGACGTGTTGGAAGCGTGGATTGCTGCTCAACATGATCTCCACTCTGCGACTGCTGCTGTTCCTCTCATGTTCACTGTTCGGTCACCACCACCGTTGGTGCCAGCGCTGTGGACACGCAGGCAGTTGCAATGAGCTGAACCGTTGAGTCCTCCCATAATCCCATCGTCGTGGAACGCTGAAAACTGCCGAGTCGGATGAACGGCCTACGGAGCAGTTCTGGGCAGCAAGGTGTTGCCTACCATTCCCATCCAGTTACGGCCCCCACATCACACGAGTCGCAACCAATCAACCAATCAGGCCTGGGGTCATTCCAGTCTTGTGCTACCTTCTCGACGGTCCTCGGCAAAGCACTTCTCTGGGAGCAAAGTACACGTTTCGGTCGCCCAATGAGAGCGCGCCGTGTGGGCATCCTTGCAGGTTCGTTGAGCCAGAAGTCTGCCCTTCAAGCGAAAGTCAGTGTTTTTGATTCTGCTCCTCGTTCTGTGCTGCCACAGCGTTGTTTTGGCGACGAGCTGGTCTGGACGAACCCAAACGACGCAGCTGGTTGGTTGACGAGGGATGTGGCGAGGTCAGGCAGTATGGTGACTTTTTATCCAGTGTAGATCCCAAGCCTCAGGAAACAAATTACAAACTGGGGAGTGTGATAACCAGGGTAGCTGCCCAAAACCCTGTTGAACACATGTTAAGTGTGTTCCGCTTTCGTTTCCAACTACAATCAGTTATTCCCCAATGTGTACGTCTCGCTAAGTTCAGACACTTAGCCTCGCACCAGATAGAACTAAGGTACATATCTATCGGTATCAAATCATGTTTTGTTTTCTTGGTGTAGTTTCAAAATAAAACACCCTGGACCAGGAGTGCATCCGCTGTTTGTGCACCTCTCGGTACGAACCACCTGCTGTATCCGTCACCCACCCCAACACCTAGGAGATAACGCCATGGATTTTCCGTCCCTCCATCAGTCACGGATGTTCACACAAAGCATCACCCGCCAGCTGAGCAGATAATTTAGTTGTGTTGTGTGTCTTTCTAGGCTGTGTCGGCTTTACACAAGCTGGGCTTTTCAAACGCACATTGTTTATTTGCTTCTCAGCCCTAGTTGCGTGTGCAAAACTGATCGCGAGTAATCGACAGCTGGTAAGGCTGCACACTCTTCGCTTTTCTTAGTGCTCAACGAACACAGTGGCCTTTAGCCGCTCTGACCACCATACAACTGCTCACGCTCGGCGTATAACAGCCGACCAGTCACACTTGCCGTCTAACAGCTGCCCGGTCACGGTCACCGTTTTCGACCATGGCGACCCGAGTGTCGCTTCTGCCGGTCACCTCTCGCGCGTTATCTCTCGACCCGCCAAATTCGTCCAAGCGCGATGTTAAATTCGGCGGCGGATTTCCGCACGAGAACGCTGCAGGGACCGACGGGCTCCGGCAAGGCCTGGGAACGACTTATACCGAAACCCGAGGCATTAATAACGAAAGCGGGAAAGGAGATTCAGTGGGGACCGCTAGTGGCAGCGGATCTTTCAACAGCTTAACCGGAGTTAGCGGAGGACTCCTTAACGGGGTCGGAGGCGGCACGGGGAACGCTCCCGGTGAGGGAGGTCGATCGGACGCGTGGTCGACGCTTCTTAGCCTGCCACGTCAGCCCCAGCAGAGCAGTCTCGGCCTTAATTTCTCCCACGGGTTGTCGTTCTCCCCAGCACCGTCTCCCACGGCCATGGGCCTCACGCACGGTCTCTCCTTCACTCCCGCCGCCCCGCCCACGCCCGTAGCGCGATCGTCGTCCCACGGGCTTTCGTTCTCCCCTGCACCGTCTCCCACGGCCATGGGCCTCTCCTTCACTCCCGCTGCTCATCCCACGCCCGTACCGCGATCGTCGTCCCACCACCACCTCAGTCAAAGCCACAGCAAGAATTACAACTACAGTTACAGTCACAGTAACGGCCAAAGCCCCAGCCACAGCACCAGTAGCACCCCGTCAGGAAGTGTTGGTGGCGGCGGCGGCGGCGGCCGCGGCGGCAACTGGCCTATGTTCCGCGGGTTGGCGGCGCGGCACGCGTCCGCCGACTCGCTCCTGTCGCTCGCGTCGTCCGAAACCAGCAGCCTCGCGTCCTTCGCGACCGCGTCGGACCGCCTGGCAGAGCAGGAGATTAATCGGCGAGCCGCGTTAGACTTCGTCACGGAGCTAGCCGGCCCGCTGCAGCCCCCCAGCTCCCCAGCGCATTCCCTTTCGGGGGAGCGCACCCCACCCGCCGGCGCAACCCTCGGCGCAACCTTGGGCGCAAATCCCGGCGGAGCCTTAGCCTCCGGCGCAGCGCTTTTAGGCGCAAGCCTTAGCGGGGACCTGCCAATTTCCGCCAATGAGCTCCCCGTGGCGGTGTTTGCGGTCGACCGCGACCTGGTGTGCGCGCTCTGGAACAAGCGCATGGCGGAACTGACGGGATGGGCGGAAGGGGAAATCATGCGCCTGGGTCGATTTGCGGAGGGTAGATTTGCGGAGCGGCTTTTCCGCCCCGCCAGCGCCTCCGCGCCGTTCCGCCGATGCGAGGACGTTCTCCGCGCAGCGCTCTTCGGCCGCGATATAGTCACGGCGGAGTTGCTTCTTCTGAAGCGCGGAGGCAGCTGCGCGCGCGTGCGGTTATTCGCCAGCGCGCGCACCGACGCGCTCGGCGCGGTTTGCGGCGCAATTTGCGCCGTCATTCCCGCGTCTTCGGGAAGCGGGGGTGGGTCGGCGTCCTCGCTGAGCGCAGCTTCCGCGCATGGGTTCGACGTTGACGGTGGCGGCGGAGGCGGAGGCGGCTTGCCGCCATTTGCGCCGTCGTTTGCGGCGGGCGATACGGAGGAATGGCTGCAGCGGAACGCATCGGCGGGGAGTCTGTACGGCATGCACTCCGTGGACGAGGAATCCGTGGGCGGTGAGTGGTGGTGAGGGGCGGTGAGTGGTTGTGAGTCAAGGGCGGTGAGTCAATGTCTTTAACCGTTTCCTCCGCCAACCTCACCCTTCTCCACCCCTCTCCACCCCTTCTCCACCCCTCTCCACCCGTTCTCCTCCCCTCTCCACCCCTCTCTCTCACAACCAGACGATAGCGACGCGGCGAGCAGCTGCAGCGACCTTTACCAGCTCGGCTCCGTGCCGTTCGGCAGCAGCGCCAGTGGCGGCGGCAATTCCGGCGGCTCCAGGCGCCACGTCATGGAGCCCGTCTCCGCCAGCAGGCGCGCGAGCGGTGGCGGCGGCGGCGGCGGCGGCGGCGGGGGGGTGCGCGGAAGTCACGCAGGCGCGGGGAATGCGAGCACGGGCCAAGAGTCGGGCGCAGGGGCGGGATTGGGGGTAACTGGGCGGCTGTCGTCGTCGTCTTCTGAGCGACAGCTGTCAGGGAGGCTTTCATTGGGGGAGAGCGAAGCTGCGACTGCGATCGAATCAGGGGCGGCGGGAGAAGCGGGAGGAGCGGGAGGAGTGGGGGGAGCGGGAGAAGCAGCTTTTCCTTTGACTCTGCCAGCTGCGCCGCAAGTTGCGCCGCCAGTTGCGGCGGCGTTGCCTTCCCCTGTCAACGTGCCCGCGCTCGTTGGTTCGGGCGCGGAAGGCGTGGGCGGAGGCGCCGGGGTTCGCTTAAAGCCTGTACAAACGAAGTTAGCTATCCGACGTTCGTGCGAGCTGCCGAAATATGGTGCGTTGCATGTTACAGTTACGCTGTGACCAAAGTTGCTTTTGCCATGCAGCATTAGAAATACCCCTGCTTTCACTGGCTGCTGTTTCAGTGTCCCTAAAGCAAAGCTGCTGTGTCATACGCGTTAGCATCCCTCTCTCAATCTTATGCTCTACCCCGTTCTCCCCCTCCTCCCCCACCCTCCCCCACCAACTCCCCTCTTTCCTCTTTGTCCGGCTGCTTTTCTTGCAGCTTATTCCTCTCTGACAGGCATGCGTCGCAATATCAGCAGTGATGCTCTCAATAACGCGGACACCTCTCCATCCCACCACCACCACCACCTCTCCCACCGCTTAGCATTCTCCTTTCAATCCGCCACCCACACCAACACCCCTCCCACTCTCCCCTTCTCCTCCTCCCTCTCCCGCCCGCTCACCTCCCTGCCCTACCCCACCTCCTCTTCCTCCTCCCTCTCCTCCTTCTCCCACTCCTCCTCACACTCCTCCTCCCCAAGCGTCGCCTCCTCATCCTCGTTAGTGCGTGCTCTGATAGCAGACGGAGTGACCACGGGTCGCAACGACCTGGCGCACCAGCTGGAGCGCTGCGGGTTCGACGTGGTCAGTGCCACGTCAGTGCAGGAAGCTGCGTGGAAATACGAGCAGACTGCTCTCTATGGCATTCTCCCTCCCTCCCCTGCCGCTCCTCCTGCTCCTGCTGGCGCAGCTGCTGTCACCAGTGCCACCACCACTGCCCCACACAACACCCCTGCTGCAGCTGCTGCTGCTGCCGCCACCAGTGCTCCTCCTCCCCCTGCTACTGCCGGTGGTGGGAGTGGGGGAGTGCTGTTCTCTTTAGTGGTACTAGATCTAGAGCAGGCAACGAGCAGGGCAGGGCAGGCGGCCATTCGCGACATCAGGCGCGCAGAGCGGGCGCTGCTGTCCCGCCGCCTCACCCTCGGCACTGCTACGCCTGCTGCCGCTGCTGCTGCTGGCGTTTCCGGTGCTGGCGCTGCTGCTGGTTCTGGCTCTGTTGCTGCTGGTGGGTGTGGGCGTGTTGATGGGGACATGCGGTCGTTGGGAGGCCTGAAGGTGCTGAGTGAGGAGGGCGAGGAGGACGAGGGGAGGAGTGAGGAGGCGAGGAGTGAGGTGAGCGATAGTGCGAAGCTGCAGCCAGAGGGGGATCAGGAGACGGTACAGCAACAAGAGCAAACAACAGTAGCGGAACACTCGTCCTCCTCCACTGCTGCTGGTGCTGCCGCCGCTGCTGCTTCTGCTTCTGCTACAGCAGCTGCTGCGTCATCGCCCGATCGCACGTTGATAGTGGTGGTGGCCGATTTAAGCCGGTACGACCAGGTGGGGCTGGATGCGGCAATGGAACAGTGTGTGTTGGCGGGTGTAGACGCTTTTATTCCCCGTTCCATGCACCTGCAGCAGCTCAGGACGGCTCTTAGGAGACTTGGGCTGCAGAGTAAATATCTCGTGCTGCCCGCCTCGCTGCCCCGCGCGCATTCTGCTGCGAATGTTGCTGGTGTTGTGTCTGCTGCTGGTGCTGGTGTCAGTATGGGTGGGAGTGGGGTTGCGGGCGGTGGTGGGATGACTGGGTTGCATTATGGTGTTGCATCGTCGCACCATGTGCTTGGCCATCAGGGAGCACATTTGTTACGATGATTCGTTGGCGCATTACTTATAAATGATTTGGGAATGTGATTCGTAGCTCTACCTACTTGCGTGCCGGATCATGCATTCCTAGTTGCTGTTTCTAATTATGTAACATAACCCCGAATGCAAAACCTGTCAATAATACCAGATTCCTCACGGAATTATTAGTATCTCGCATGTAAATTGGAGCCGTAGAGCTTACAGGGAGGATCTCGACATTCCCGAGGATTCCACTGGCACAGCTCACGTGCATCTGCTTCTTGAGAATTCGACTGTCAATTTCGCTGAGCTAAACCAGTCAGACGATTGATTTCAGCGCACGGTGTTCCAATCAAGTAGCTTTTGCTGTACAGCTCTTCTCCGCCGCGCAATCACAGCTATGTGATCTGCGGCGTCGGCTAGGCGCATGGAGTGACGTGGCGACGATCCGCATGGCATCGCCTCGGTTGCGGACAATCGAGCACTGAAGAAGTCCGGCCAACTGAAGCGAGAGAGAGCCAGGCAGTCGATTTTAGCTCAACGGGTCATATGATTTTCATTCTTGCACGTTTATCCGTTCGTTACGACCGTCTAGAAAAACTGCTCGTTTTGTCGGTCGTTGTTGCGAAGTAGTCAACGAACTAGTCAAACTAACGTGGCTGTCCATGGAGTGACGCGGCGACGATGAGGACCTCTCTCTCTCTTCGACAGTCAACGGTAGTCAACGATATTTGACGAAATAATCAACGATAGTCAACGAGATAGTCAACGAGCCCTGTCCATGGAGTGGGGTGGGGACGATGAGGACCTCTCTCTCTTCGACGCAGACGATGACGATTTCCGCGAAGCTGCCGAAGTGCGGCCGGCCCTCCTAACTTCGATCGCCCGGCCGGCGGCGCCCTCCGCGCAGCCCGCCGCCGCAACTCCTGCCGAGATTCTCGCCGCAGTTCCCGTTCTGGCGACTTCCGAACCAGCCGCACCGTCGAAATCGGATTATATTCCTGGAGCAGCTCCGAAGCTGACTGACAGTCAGGGTCGGGTTGGGGAGGCTCGGATTGGCGAGGATCGGATTGGGAAGGTTGAGATTAGCGCAAGTGGGGCAGGCGGAACAAGCGGAGTAGGCGGAGGGGAAGCGGGGGAAGGTGGGGGAAGGGAGGGAGAAAGCGGTGCAGTGGGGGAGAGTGGGATTGGAAGGGATGCAGAGGAGGATGAAACGGACGGAGAGGGCGGCGAAAAGGAAGAGACCGGGTTGGATGGAGAAGAGGAGGACGCGAGTGGGTTGTCGCACGCGGGATTTGCTAATAACGGAGCAGATCCTAGCGGGGCTGCTGCTACTAACGAGGGGTCTGCTAACGAGGATGAATCGGAGCAGGAAACGGGCGAGCGGGAAGGAGAAGAGGAGAGTGAAACGAATGGCGTAGGCGTAGGGGGAGGAGAAGGAGCGGGAGGAGGAGCTGGGGAACAGGGTCAAGGGGATCAGCGGACAAAGGGCGGGAGAAAGAAGAAGAAGAAGGGGAAAGGGAAGGGGAGAGGGCCGAACGCTGGTCCAACTGCAGCAGCAGCAGCAGCAGCAGCGCAGAGTACAGACGTTAGGGGCGATCTGGCACGAGTGAATGACGCCACAGGGGGGATCCCTGCTGCAGGCAAACTCGCCCCCATAGGGGGGACTCCTTCCACAGCAGGGATTTCCTCAAATCCCTCCACAGGGGGGATTGCCGCAGCAACCCCAGATGCAGGTACCCTCAAGGAAGGTTTTCTGCGGCAGGTGGATGAGTGGAAGGCTGCTTTGGCCCGGGAGAAGGATGCCAGAGTGGCAGCAGAGGAGCAGGCGAAACGGGCAGAAAGAAAGGCTTCTTGCGCGGCTGAAGAAGCTGCCCGGGCAGCAGACGGGCAGCGGCGGGCAGAGGCTGAACGGGCAGAGATGGAGAGAACGAAAGCTGAGATGCTGAAAAAGCTGCGGCATATAGTAGAGGAGGCTGTGAAGAGAAAGAAGGAGGCTGAGGAGGAGAAAACCGTTGCCGAAGCTGCCGCCGCAGCTGCGGTGAAGGATCGGAACGAGGCTCGAAAAGAGCGGGACGAGGCTCGGAGCGAGAGAGATGGGGCCGTTCAGGAGAAAGAGCGGGCTGTGAGGGAAAGAGAGGCGGCTATCAGTAAACTGGAGCGGCTTATAAAGGAGCGAGATGTGGCGGTAAGGGAGCGGGAGAGTGCGGTGAAAGATATTACGAAACGGTTGAGTAGTGAGAGGGATGCTGCAGTGAAGGAGCGAGAGGTGGCAGTGTTACAGAGGGGGGCGGCTGTAAGGCATGTAGAGGCTGTGGAGGGGAGTGTGCGGCGTGCTGTGGGGAAACTGGGGAGGGAGGCGGAGCGCATTGAGCGGATGTTTGAAGGGATGATTAGTGTCAAGATGGGTGAGGGGAAGATGGGTGAGGGGAAGATGGGTGAGGGGAGGAGAAGTGAGGGAGAAGTGGAGGGAAGGAGTGGTGGTGATTGTGGTGGTGAAGGAATGAGTAACTCCGGTACCGGCACCGCCAGTGAGGAGGCTAGCCCTGCTGAACCAGCAGCGGCAGCGGCATCATCAGCAGCAGCAACAGCAGGGGCAGCGGCAGGAGAAGATGAAGACGTGGTGGCAAGGTTTGAAGCAGGAGTGCAGAGGGTTTCAGCTTTTATCGAGCTTGCAGCTAAGTCAGTGCGACGGCAGCGAGAGGAGATGGAGGAGAGAGCAGTTGCAATGGCTGTAGAGGTGTCTCAGTTAGAGTCTGATGTTGTTGATGCAAAGAGAGAGGTTGAGAGAGTGAGAAAGGAAGGGGAGGAGGAGGTGGAGCGAGTGAGAAAGGAGGGGGAGAGGAGGGTGGAGGAGGAGGGAGGAGGGGAGAGGTGGAGGGCGGCTGGAGGAGGCGGAGAGGAGAGTGAGGGAGGTTGAGGAGGGGAGAGGAGAGTGAGGGAGGTTGAGGAGGAGAGGAGGAGGGTGAGGGGGAGGGTGGAGGAGCTGGAAAGGGTTCGAGGGGAGTTGGAGCGGTTGAGGGAGAAGGTTGGGAGGAGTGGAAAGACTAATAGTGCTGACAGAGGGGGGTTAGAGAGTGGGGAAGAGAAGGAAGGGAAGGAAGGCAAGGATAGAGAGGAGGAGGAGGAAGTGCAGGAGGGTTTGGAGGGGATTAGATGGGTGGAAAGACGGTTAGAGGAGGCTGAGAAGGCTGTAAGCGATTGGAGGAGCAAGGAGAGAGAGGCGCAGAGCCGTGCCATCAGTGCTGAAACGAAGCTGGCAGGCAAGGTGGGTGCTTGTGTGGCGCAGTGGGGGCGGTTCGATCATCTAGGTGCGTTGTTGCTGGCTGTTGTGTGTGTTAGGTCGTTTAGGAACACAAAGATTTGTGTGTGTTGGTGTTCAACTTTTGAGGCGCCTCAAAACGACTTTTGAGGCGCCTCAAAAGTCACAAAGATTTGTGTGTGTTATGTCGTTTAGGAGCACAAAGATTTGTGTGTTGGTGCTGAAACGAAGCTGGCAGGCAAGGTGGGTGCTTGTGTGAAATTTGTGTTGGAAGCAATCTTTTTGTTTTTACCAATCACGACCACTTTGTATCCCCTTGTTTGGGTTGAGTTTTGAGGCGCCTCGAAACTCAACTTTGTGTCCCCTTGTTTGGGTTTCTCCAACCTTTCTTCGACCTTTGTCTGTTTCTTTGTACGGAAGAACAGACACCCTTACATCTCCAACCTTACTGCCGTGCCTGTTCTTTCTATTTGCGGGTGTATGGTGCAGGAGAGGGAGATAGAGCTGTTGCAACAGCATGTGGAAGAGGAGAGGAGGGAGAGGAAGGAGGAGATGGAAAAGAGCAGGTGAGGGAGAGAAGAGGGAGATGGAAAAGAGCAGGTGAGGGAGAGAAAAAGGAGTGAGTTAGGGTTTCAAGGGATGCAGGGAGGTGAACGGGAGTGGAAAGAGGGGATGAGGAAGGGCAGGTCAAGACACCCAACAGGAGTGGGTCGAGGTCTAGGGGAGATGTAAGGGATGAATTCAGAGGGTTACTGAATCGAAGATACCTTGATTTCGGAAGAAATCTCAGGGGAGTTTTAAGAATGTGGTTTGATTGGATTGCTTTACGGAGTTTAAAACACGCCCTGAACCCCACACCCAATCCCCAGACGTCCCTCCCTCCTCTATCCTCGCACTCTTGTTCCTTTCCGCTCAGGCACGAGTTGCAGCAGGTGGAAGGGGCATTGCGCAAGGAGAGGGAAGCTGGGAGGAGATTGAGAGAGGCGTTGGAGGGGTCGGAGAGAGAGGGGACGCGGGCAGCAGAGCAGGTGAGCATGTGAAGGATGACCACAAGGGGTAGGGAGGGGAGAGAGTGGGGGGGGGGGGGGGGGGGAAGGTGGGGGAGGGGAGAAGGGAGTGATTTGAGTAGAAGCGAAACAGTTTGGGCTACTCAAACACACATCTTCAGGAGCAGATTGAGTAGATGGAGCAGACTGAGAGAGCCAACCAATGGAGAGCCAACCAATGGAGAGCCAACCAATGGAGAGCCAACCAATGGAGAGCCAACCAATGGAGAGCCAACCAATGGAGAGCCAACCAATGGAGAGCCAACCAATGGAGAGCCAACCAATGGAGAGCCAACCAATGGAGAGCCAACCAATGGAGAGCCAACCAATGGAGAGCCAACCAATGGAGAGCCAACCAATGGAGAGCCAACCAATTGAGAGCCAACCAATGGAGAGCCAACCAATGGAGAGCCAACCAATGGAGAGCCAACCAATGGAGAGCCAACCAATGGAGAGCCAACCAATGGAGAGCCAACCAATGGAGAGCCAACCAATGGAGAGCCAACCAGTGGAGGGCCAACCAATGGAGAGCCAACCAATGGAGAGCCAACCAATGGAGAGCCAACCAATGGAGAGCCAACCAATGGAGGGCCAACCAATGGAGAGCCAACCATTGAGAGCCAACCAATGGAGAGCCAACCAATTGAGAGCCAACCAATGGAGAGCCAACCAATGGAGAGCCAACCAATGGAGAGCCAACCAATGGAGAGCCAACCAATGGAGAGCCAACCAATGGAGAGCCAACCAATGGAGAGCCAACCAATTGAGAGCCAACCAATGGAGAGCCAACCAATGGAGAGCCAACCAATGGAGAGCCAACCAATGGAGAGCCAACCAATGGAGAGCCAACCAATGGAGAGCCAACCAATGGAGAGCCAACCAATGGAGAGCCAACCAATGGAGAGCCAACCAATGGAGAGCCAACCAATGGAGAGCCAACCAATGGAGAGCCAACCAATGGAGAGCCAACCAATTGAGAGCCAACCAATGGAGAGCCAACCAATGGAGAGCCAACCAATGGAGAGCCAACCAATGGAGAGCCAACCAATGGAGAGCCAACCAATGGAGAGCCAACCAATGGAGAGCCAACCAATGGAGAGCCAACCAATGGAGAGCCAACCAATGGAGAGCCAACCAATGGAGAGCCAACCAATGGAGAGCCAACCAATGGAGAGCCAACCAATGGAGGGCCAACCAATGGAGAGCCAACCATTGAGAGCCAACCAATGGAGAGCCAACCAATTGAGAGCCAACCAATGGAGAGCCAACCAATGGAGAGCCAACCAATGGAGAGCCAACCAATGGAGAGCCAACCAATGGAGAGCCAACCAATGGAGAGCCAACCAATGGAGAGCCAACCAATGGAGAGCCAACCAATGGAGAGCCAACCAATGGAGAGCCAACCAATTGAGAGCCAACCAATGGAGAGCCAACCAATGGAGAGCCAACCAATGGAGAGCCAACCAATGGAGAGCCAACCAATGGAGAGCCAACCAATGGAGAGCCAACCAATGGAGAGCCAACCAATGGAGAGCCAACCAATGGAGAGCCAACCAATGGAGAGCCAACCAATGGAGAGCCAACCAATGGAGAGCCAACCAATGGAGAGCCAACCAATGGAGAGCCAACCAATGGAGAGCCAACCAATGGAGAGCCAACCAATGGAGAGCCAACCAATGGAGAGCCAACCAATGGAGAGCCAACCAATGGAGAGCCAACCAATGGAGAGCCAACCAATGGAGAGCCAACCAATGGAGAGCCAACCAATGGAGGGCCAACCAATGGAGAGCCAACCATTGAGAGCCAACCAATGGAGAGCCAACCAATTGAGAGCCAACCAATGGAGAGCCAACCAATGGAGAGCCAACCAATGGAGAGCCAACCATTGAGAGCCAACCAATGGAGAGCCAACCAATTGAGAGCCAACCAATGGAGAGCCAACCAATGGAGAGCCAACCAATGGAGAGCCAACCAATGGAGAGCTTGCAGAGGAATTAGGTGCCGGTGGCTGGGCAGGTGAGCGTGGGAGGGGATGGTGGAGAAAAGGGCGATAGGAGGTGGAGAGCGGAGTGAGAGGAGAGGGAGAAGGGGGGCTTCTGACGACGTCCAATGAGAACTTTTGAGAATCAACCCTGCTCGTAGCAAGAGTATTTTTGAGACATCTCAAAAATACTCTTGCTAAACGAACAATGAGAACATTTGAGAATCACCCCTGCGCACAATCCCTCCACCCCAGCACTCACCCTCAAGTTAAAACACTACACTCCAAGCCATTCTATCAGAGTGTGAGGCGGAGGCGGGCAGATGGCGAGAGGCAGCCAAGGAGGAGGCAGCAGCGACCCATAGCCTTTCTTTCCCCCCCTGCCCGACCCTTCCCCCGACCAAACCCCCCACACCCACTTTTAGATCACGGCACTCCAGGCGAGTCTGGCTGAGTGTGAGGCGGAGGCGGGCAGATGGCGAGAAGCGGCCAAGGAGGAGGCAGCAGCGGGCAGTGCAGTGGCTGAAGAGATGGAGGAGATGCGAGGGCAGGTGAGGGGTGTGGGGTTGAATTGGATGATTGCATTAGAGGGCTGGGCACACACATGGGCATGAACACGCACGCACATGCGTGCACACACACATACACGCCAAAGGGACAGCAGAGGAGGTTCAAGCCTTTCACGCATTCAACTCCTCCCAAATCCCCTCAAATCCCCTCAAATCCCCTCGTTCAGCTTCTCACATTGGAGGGTGAAGCAGAGAAGTGGCAGAGGGCAGCAGAGGAAGCACAAGCCATGCTGGCATCACGCGATGAGCTGGCAGCAGCAGCAGTTGCCGCCCGGGAAGCAGCGGAGCGCTCGCTCCGGGCGGCGGATAGGCGGGTGGCGGAGCTGCGGGAACGAGTGGAGGAATTGCAGCAGCAGCTAGAAGACGAAACGACCCACCGTAGCGGAACGAGGGGGGTTGAAAACGCAGGTCGGGGGTGGGGGTTGAGTGGGGGGTGGGGGTTGAGTGGGGTGTGGGGGCCAGGAGGAGGAGAGAGTGGGAGAGGGGGTGTGGTGAGGAGTGGGCAAGGGGGAGGGTTGGCTAGTCGGTTGTGCTGCTGTTGGCCGTGGTTGTCAGTGGGAAGAGGAAGAAGAGGAGTGAGTGGGGAGGCAGTAGGAGATGTGGATGATGATGAAGGCAACGCTTTGGAACAGCTGATGGTGCCACTTGTTTGATTTTATGTTGTTGTGGTGTCGCATAGCATAATCTGTCAAATGTATATTATGCAATGGTACAGTATCGCTTGGAAGCCATGTCGAGACCTGCATAAGCTAGTCGCAGTTAGTGGTGGAGCACAATCCCAGTGTCTGCATACAGTTCAGTTCCACTAAAATTCTCGTAAATGGGTAAATACAAGGAACATATGTACAGTGGCTACATGCAATTACCAGCCAAGCCTTGCCCAGCTGAGCAGAGAACCAATAAACAGCCCCACCACCAGAAAAATCACCATCACCATAGCAGCCGATTCGGCTCGGTCCCGAGGCACCTGGTTTGGAGCAGCCATCATAAGCAGGCTCGTCAACAGCCCGTTAGAAAACCCAAATGCCCCCGTGATTGCAGCAATGATGACCTCATGCCGAGCCCATAGCGGGCCCCACCACACGCAGATGGGGTAAAGAATGTAAAACCCCCCTCTTGCCAGCACTAGAACCACTAATACCTTCAGATCCGTCACCAGGAACACTACCGGCGCCATTTTTCCGAAGAAATCAAAGACATTGTAGATGCTTATGAGGAGGATGGGGTACCACGATCCGAGCGCATCAGACTGGAGCTCCGAAATAAACCCCGGAAAGATAGAAATCGTAATTATATACACTATCGAGAGCGATACCGCGGAGGGCCATATCTGCTGCATGACTTCCCACTGCTGGCGGTATATCGAGGGAGCGGAGTCGACTATAGAGGGTACGTGAAGTGAGAAGGCCCGCCCTTCTGCCAACATGGCTTCTTCAGACCGGAAGGTGTGCTCCCACCAGGACACCACACGATCCCACACCCGTCTCCCTACCTTGCCCGTAACATCCGAATACCTGCCCTTGCTGGTCGCCTGACTGTGACTGTGACTGTGACTGTGACAGTGACTCTGAGAATGTGCATGCTTGTGACTGCGATCCCGAGTTACCTTTGCACCCTCCCCTTCCCCGTCCAACTCTGCTATCTCGCTTCTGCTGGCGCTACACCCATCCATCAGAGCAGCGCCATAAGCCACTGACTCTGCTTCTGCTTCTGCTTCTCGTTCTGTCTCTTCTCCTCCTCCTGCTCCTGCTGCTCCTACTTCTCCTACTTCTCCTACTTCTCCTGGTGCGCCTGTAACGTCCCGAGCTCGCTCCTGTTCCCACCACTCCGCCTCGTCTTCAATCTGCAGCAGCTGTCGGATCACCTGCTCCTCCTCTATCGTCGCCTCTCGCTTCACCAGCGGCTCTAAAGCCTCGTCCTCACCCGCACCCGCCGGACCCCTCTCCGCAGCAACCTCTCCTTCCCCTTCCCCTTCCCTTTCCTCCGACTGTCTGTCCGCCTCCACACTCTCCCCCACGCGCCCTTCCCCAGCATGTCCTTCCGCCCTCCCTTCCTTTCCCCCTCGCCCACTCCCACCATGGCAGATTGCCGGTACTCCTCCAGCTCCCGAGCCAGACCCGGCTAGCCGAGCCTCCTTCCGAGCCTTGTCCCGAGCCAGGCGCTCAGCCTCGGCAAGGGCGGCGACCTGGGATTGGAGGAAGACGATGACGGGGAGCGAGTGGAGGCGGCGGAAGGCGAGGAGGCAGACGAGGAGGATGAGCGAGGAGAGCAGGAAGTAGAGGTGCGCGGAGAGGCGCAGGCCCGTGGGCGTGTTGGGGAGAACCGCCTTGGTCAAAATGCGCACTGCGGATACGACGAGGCCTGCAGAACGAGGGAGAAGGCGAAGAGGCAGACGAGGAGGATGAGTGCGCACAGGAGGTACGGCAAGTGCAATGTCAGAATTGACCAGAAAAGGAAGTTGTGGCAGTGACTGGATTGTGAGTGGGCAGGCCCGCAGGCAGGCACAGCAGGTGCAGGCAGCGGGTCAGCCGAAGCCAACCGACCACCCGCAACCTGCGCCTGACCAAACGAACGACCTGCTCAGTCGGTCCATGTGGCGCCAAAGTCAAACCCGCATGGCGAAGAGGCGGATCGCCGAGCCAAACGAGTAATCAGTATATGGCGCTCCGCGGAGGGTATACCATTCGCTTTGTCGCATGCAGCTTCGTCACATACCTGAAATGCTAATAGAGTCTCACCTGAAACGCTGGTTCCAGCGGCCAGGGCTTGCGTGTACCGCTCGTGCAGCTCGCCCGCCATACCGAACAGACTCCCCTGCACCACCGCATCGATCGCCCCCGACGCCGCCACCGCCGCCACTGTCAGCGCCAGCGCCAGCGGCGACGACGCGGCGGGTTTCACGGCGAGATCCGCGGCGGATTTACCGGCCAAAGCGGGAGCATCCGTGTCTTGGAGGGCGCCGGGAGCGTTGGTGCCAGGAGCGGAGAGCGCGTCGAGTGCGGGAACAAGGAGGACGAGGAGAGTGAAGGCGATGAAGCCGTGGACGATTCGCGTGCGAGAGGGAACATGCTGGCCGTACCTGGGATTGGAAATGAAAGAAGACGAGTCGTCGTAAGTGTTTTAAAATGTATTCTTGATGTCCAAACAGCGACATCAGTAAGCACGGTCAGAGAGTCCCGGAAAAATAGACTGACGAAGGAGCTGGGAATATTGCCGATTACTCACAAGAGAACGAGAATCAGAGTGCCGAGGTTGGCGAACATGTAAGCGACGCAAAACAGCGTCGCGACGTGGGCCGTCGGATAGAGCAGGTAGAAGTAATCAACGGCTGTGATGAAGGCATTCCACGGGAGGAGGAAACCGACTCCCAGCAGCAGGAAGATGAAATAGGCGAGGTAAAACCGATCAGGCGGAGCCACGTTAGAGACCGGGATATGGTCCGCCATGAGACGCTCCGTCAGCATAGTCGGGAGTATTCGGGCGTCAAAACCTTGATATCAATCCGCGCGTCCCATGATAGCTGTCGAAACCTTGGTAACCAGCACAGGCTCAAACTAAACTGAATCTGGGAAGAGGTGTCGGAATCAGCTGAATCAGCGCATCTGACGGCGGTTCAATGAGCAGGAGGCGGAAAGGAGCTGAGATATACGAGGAAAACACATCACGGAGGCAAGTGTGTTTGCGCCAACTCTGCATGACGTGGTCACATACGTTGGCGTTCGCATTCCAGGAGAAACTAGACGAAAAAAACCGAGGCTGATGGCACAGATGCTGCTTGGAGCAGCTAATCTATCCGAAGGAAGAGTGATTTCTGAAGGAAGAAGCAGTACATAGGTCCGCCTTGGACTAAGAAAAAGAACAGCAGCACTTCAGCGGATCGAGGGGCAACAAAGAAGAAACACAGCTCGGATCCAGCACCAGTTTCCGTCATTGAGGAGGGATCGAACGGTTGAGCAGAGACGCATTGTCATTTGGTCGATTGGACGGGCCAGATTTTGAATTTCAGGCTAAGTTTGAAGCCAATCAGCAGCCATTCTGTGTGTTCCCCTGCTCACAGCTGGCCACTCACATCGATGGTCACCATCGGTTAGCTAAAAGTCGACGGTAAAGATGGTCAGAAAGCCAGCTGCAGCCAATCAAAATCGCGATGTGTATCCCTACCATCCACATCCAGTGATAACGTGCACGATGAGGTGGCACACACTTGGGACACTTTGCAGCCTACAGGTTGACGCATGTAGCGTGTCAGATGCTGATTCGTCAAGGTAATGCAATGTCAAAGCGCTGATCCCGTGGTGAAGTGGCAGTTGGCTTGGGTGAACTAGCCGCCCCTGGTGCATTCTGATGGGATTGGTCATGCCACAGCTGTCACGTGTATTCACCTCCCAAATAACCCATCTCACAATGCGGGTCAGACCAAGGTTCAGCTGTCACATGTTTGACCTCCCAATTCATCCTACAGTGCGGATCAAACAAAGGTTCGATAAAGAGGTACCAGGCTTGTATTCTTTGAAGCCAAAAAATAACTCCATTACACACATAGCAAGCAAGCACACACAGGCAAAACCTTAGCACACTCCGCTAATTCTGCACTACATGGTGCGGTGACTGCTCCTTTCTCCTGAACCTACAGCCACGGCCATAATTGGCTCGGAAATTCAATACTGAGCTCCAAGCTGATGCACACTAAAATCTGCACACAAAACACGCTATGGGGTGAATGAGCCCCGACAGTCTATGTATACACACACTCGAGGCCCTCGCACACCGCACACCTAATCTAAGAGGGGTCCTCCTCGCAAACAATCCAATCAGCCTAGTCTAAGACGGGATTCGGCCGAACCCCGGGTCAGTAACGCAGCGCACGGCACTTCCTGCGATCGCCCCAGTATTACGGCTCCAGTCGCCAGTCCGAGTGGTAACCACCATACTGTCTGATGAGACTGCGACAACAAGAATTGCAGCACAACCCGCGAAATCGTTGCGCGCCGAAATCATCAACAAATTGCGGTGGTGGAGAATTGGCTCCCGACGGGGAGAAGAATTGCGGCCACGAGGCCATATTTACATGTTTCGACAGGTCGTGACTTCTGAGTGGAGCAGAAGCTCCTAAGGTACCAACCCCGAGACAGCCTACAAGCCGGCGACGCAATACAACGCGTCGGATGTAGGCTTCTGCTCCGAAGAGGGCAGCCGCCAGACGTCCATGCACTGAGAGACTCTATCGGCACAGTCCTTAGCGTACTGCGCACGCAACCGTTGACTCTCAGCCCGTCGCCGAATCCGCTGCTTGGAATACTCGAGGAAGTAGCTCTGGTTCTCCTTCTCCAAAGCTTTCCACACTGCCATGATTGAAGGATTACAAAGAAACGGAGAAAAGAGTCAGTCAATAGGGAGTCAGTGGGTTTCTAGAAACTAACAGGAGAAGAGTAAAGAGTCACGACGAAAAAGGAGCGGGATGGAGACGAAGAAAGAAAAACTTTTGCGAGGAGAGCGAGTAGACAGTGTAAAGAGAGCAGGAAGCACGAGAGCGTACCAGTGGCAGTGATAGCAGGCTTGACCCCCGCGTGCTTCGCTAGAGCGACGACGCACTCCTCACGGCTCAAATTGAGCAGCAGGCATCGTTCAATCAGGTGCTGCACCATCTGCACGTAGCCCCTAGTCGACTCCCGCGAATCGGCCGAAGCGGGCGATCCTGCAATGCTTGTAGAACGAGCTGGGGGATCCATGGTGTGCTTGTACAAGCTATTGAGTGCTAACGCGTCTGTCGCGGTGAGAAAAAACGCAGTTAAGGAGCTACGGGGGTGCGAACGAGAGAATTGCCTGCTAAGTACTGGCGACGACAATACTAACAATCTCGAAGCTCTAATTGTAAATCTCCCCGTTCCAGTTGAGCCCGTGGGTTTCGTATGGCGGCGGCTCCTTTCCTTATCGAAGGTTGCGTGGCGTGTTGCGCCAAATCTGCCAGCCCAATCGCCTGGTGCTGCTGCTGCTGCTGTGGCTCCGTGGATGGGTGGGAGGGAAGCGAGGTTTGTGGGTGTGGGGGACAGCTGGGAGTGGATTGGGTGTGTCACCCGCTTGGAAAGGGGAGGTGAGGAAGCGGGAAGGGGGACGTGGCAGAGTGGGGTGGGGGTCAAGGCTTTCCCTCTACACACGTCAACCGCCTCGAGGCTTCCGCCGTCGATTCCCCACCCACTGCACTGGCTAGACAGGCTCAGTGGCGGTCCTCTAATCGCCCAGCGTGGCGGATTCCAGGGAACTCGGCTGGACGCGCTCGCATCTTGATTGGACAGCTGTTACACGCAGGTTACTGGCCTGAGGCACCAACCTAGCCACAAATCTCCCGCCAATATCCGGAAACTCTTATTGGCTGATTAAAGCTGTGGCATCACTGGCTTGTGCGAAGGGAAGAAGACACTAGCTGCCACGGTGGCAACCAGCGTGGAAAAATGATCGAATTGCGTGATGCAGCGTCTGTTGAAGGGAGGCGGTTGTTCATGGACGGATTCAAGGTAAAACACGTCAGGATACATTGCGACACACATGTGCCGTTTATTTCTTTGCGAGAGAAACCCGCTGGAGGAAATCGTTGGCGGAGGATACCCATGGTTGCCGAAGCGGGAACGTCGAGGAGTCGAAGAGGCAGACGCGATGCTGGCGATTTGGTGGAACCAGAAATTTCAAATAGCCTATCTACTTCGAACACGTCGTCAGGCAACTTGATCTCCCCAACCACGAGTGTATCTTAATCCACCAAAATCTGCAGAGCTGGTTTCTCCACATCATTTTTCTGTTCTGCCCCCACTGGGGCTGGATAAACTCCATGTGACGTGGAAGATAGTTGACTGCTTGTTGCAGCCTGCTAGAAAACGGGGTCTCGTCGCTGTGCTGCACTGTACGCATGAAATGTCCAGTCGTTGGAAGAGAACTTCTGAAGGAGTTGCACGAAACCATGATAGCTTTTGCGTCGAGTTTCCAGAAGGGAAACTGGTTGAACCTGGTTGAAAGAGTGTGCCAGAACGAGTCCCCTCCAAATAAATAAAACTAAAAACTAAATGCATCGGCCTGAAACGCAGCTCTGATGCAAGATGTGCCCAAGATACAATTTAAACGCCTTTCTGCCCAACCAGAAACAAATCCCCGCCCCGAGATGGGAGGGGACGGGACCAGTGATGCATTCGGCAGCGGTGGATCCATGTGGATCATATCAAGGAATCATATCCATGTGGTTTGCACCCATGAGGGGTTGACGTCATTGCCGAACGACACGTGTGAGACCATCTGTCTCGCACGAGCAACACGTACGAGTGCTCAAATGTGGAATTTCATCACCAAATGTGTATCACCAAATCGCACGTTATAACTCGTGAATTGAGCAAACAAACTGCCTTGCAACACCGAACAGTTCACCCAAAGCTGCACCCAAAGCTAAGCTACCCTATTCTATTATGCCTCCCACTTTAAATCAGGAAAACAAAGCTACTGCTGAGGAGCTGCAGTGCAGCCAGCCATGCGCTATAAATGGGTAATGCACAAAGAATGATGGAAAATGAACCATGCTTTCACCTAAAGTATGTTAGTGCTAGTACATTACCATGTTCCACTGCCCCTGTTCCTTTCATCAGCATACCCTGCATGACTAGCCTGCTCTAAGGGGCTATAACATATTTCACTCACTGCACGGGGTTAGACACCACAACAGAATCACTGCACTGCACAGGGCTAGAAACCCTCGCAAGAATCCCCGCACAGGGTTAGAAACCTCCTCTGTTGGCGTTACTGCATGGGTCGCAGGCCGTGGCGCATGGCAGCGTCCCATGTGGGGTCGATTCGACTCACATCAATACGGCCCACCTCATGGTAGTCCCACCCCTCCAGCAGATGCACCAGGCCCCCTGCATGGCACGCATAGATGTGCCCACGAGGCAGGGCCAGCTGAAGAAGGGAGGGGAGAGGGGAGAAGGGGGCATTGGGAGAAGGGAGAGAAAACTAAGTCAGTGAACATGAGACATGTCATGGTAGTACCCACCCCTCCAGCAGATGCACCAGGCCCCCTGCATGGCACGCGTAAATGTGCCCACGAGAGGCAAGGCCAGCTGAAGAAGGGAGGGGAGAGGGGTTGGGAGAAAGGGGATGCAATGACTGGTTTTATGTGAGACCTGCTACGTGATGTGCTGTGAGGCATCACCGTCCCAACTCACATGACAGCATCAAGAGGTTCAACAAGTCATCTGGTAACCGCACGGCCGAACCAACCAACTCACCTCGCAAAACTTGAGGTTCTCAATGTCATCCGGTAACCGCATGGCGGCCAGCTTGCCGTACGTGCAGTCCGGCCGGACCTCGGCGATGGGCGGCACGACAAACTGGTGGAAGTGCGTGCCGGGCGGCGCGTGCCGTTGCTCCCACCACATCATGCCCTTGCCGATGATCCACACGGGGCACTGGCTGGCCTGCGAATACTGTGTCACCTGCACCAGCAGGTGCTGCCTCTCCTCTGGTAGCTCTGATCGAATGGCTTCAAAGCGCTCTCTAGAGGGGGTCAGCATCTGGCAGGGTTATGGGGGGGAGAGCACGCGAGGGACAGAGAGAAAGAGAGATACACAGGTGGAGGGGCAGGTTTAGAGCTGACTTATGAACCAGCAGGTGCTGCCTCTCCTCCGGTAGCTCTGATCGAATGGATTCAAACCGCTCTCTTGAGGGGGCCAGCATCTGGGGTTGAGATGCAGAGAGAAAGGAGTGAAGGGGTCTCAATAAGGAGGGGAGGAAAGGGTGAGGCGAGTGATGGAAACTCCCTCATACGGAAAACATCACAAGCACAGCACAGCACACTTCAGCACACATCAGAACAGCACAGTACCACGGTCTTTAGCACCCTACTCACCAGCACTCGCACGCCCCGCAACGCAAGGTAAAGAGAAATCGCCCGGCCGAGTTTCGATGTCGACCCGGTCAGAAACACCTCAGTCGCGTCCTCTCGGATCTCCCTCAGAATGATGGCCGCTGTGAGCGTGTTCCCATGCACCAACCGAACCTTGAGGTCCGGGTGCCGATCCAGAAACAGCTTGCCGCCGCCGTTGAGGCTCTCGTTCTTGTTGAGGGCGCCCAGGGCCAGGACCTTCACTCCTTGCTTGTCCGCTGCTAGAATGGCCGACTCTATAAAATTGTTAATGGATCGCTTCTCAAAGGGGATGAAATACTGATGGGGAAGCGGGGGGGGGGGGGTGGGGATGGGGAAGGGGTCAGGGGCGGGAGGCGGAAGGGAGGGGGTCGAGGGGAAGTAAGTGTGAGGTTGAGGGGAGGGGTGGGGTGGGGTGGGGTGGGGTGTGGAGGGGTGGAGATGGGGATGGGGATTTGGAGTGGGGTGTGAGAGGGAGTGCAAAACTCGCTACAAACACACTCGTTACAGTTACGCTCACTACAATCATACAAACTCTCATTAATCCCGAAGCGAGGCACCATCCATTTATGCAGTTTCAGTCCCCTCAGACGCTTTTTGTCCTTGGCAAAGCTCGGGCAGATGAACCACAGCACAAAGCACAGCAGCACACTCGGTACAAGCACACTCGGTACAAGCACACTCGGTACAAGCACACTCGTTACAAGCACACTCGTTACAAGCTCGCACACTCACATTAATTCCGAAGCGAGGCACCATCCATATGTGCAGCTTGAGCCCTCTCAAGCGCTTCTTATCCACGGGAAAGCGCGGGCAGATGAACCACAGCACAAAGTAGGCCGGCAGGCACAGTAAGAGCAGCGCGAAAGTGGTCCAGGTCGGTTTGAATGGGTGCGTGGAGCCGTACGGCATGAGGAAGGGCAGATGAAAGAAGCACTGCAGGTTCACGCCGTGGCCCAGGAACACAAAATCCGGGTTCTCTACTGGACCTGGCGGGGGGGGAGTAGGAGCGTAACAGCGCAGCAACAGGGAGCAGAAGGGACACCGGGAGAGTAGTCAAGGGCATGAGGTTGAATGAAGAAGCATTGCAGGTTCACCCCGTGGCCCAGGGGTGAACCCCGGTGCAGGTTCACCCCGGTGCAGGTTCACCCTGTGACCCCTGGTGGGGAGAAAGGGAAAAGGGGGGTGGGAGAGTTGGGCTGGGGGTGAGGGATGGAAGAAGCACTGACGGTTCACGCCGTGGCCCAGGAAAACAAAGTTAAGACGGAGCGGGAGATGGGCAGGGGAAGCAAGGAGAGCGGGGTTGCAGGATGAGAGGTGGAAAAGCACTGCAGGTTCACCCCGTGACCCGGCAAGACAAAATCCGGGTGCTGTAAATCCGAGACCCGGGCGCTGCTGGGGGGTGGATAGGGAGTCAAGGGACATCTGACCCCTATCCAAGGTTCGGGTCGACTGTGCGAGTTACAGCATGGGATGACATGGGCAGAAAGAGGGCAGTACCTAGGTAAGCACGGCAGTACCTAGGTAAGCACGGCAGCTCACCTCTGCGCGCCTCCTTGTGCACATGGTCCGTGTTCGGGTTGACTGTGCCCGCAATTAAGGAGATGACTTTTGAGTCGACTTAGAAGTCCCTTTGTGGTCCGTGTTGGGGTTGACAGTCCCCCCCATTAGGTCGTACACAGGGTAGGCAGTATCAGGGTAAGCCCTTATATATCAGCGAGCATTATGCACCAACTTACCTCTGCGCGCCTCCTTGTGCACGTGGTCCGTGTTCGGGTTGACGGTGCCCGCTACCAGGTCATATACTGGCATGAACAGGCAGTAGTTGCTGCTCGGTTCCGAGTGGTGCAGAGAGTGATACCTGCAGGCATGATTGGAGGAGGAGGAGCGTAGGGAGGGGAAAGGGTGGGTTTGGGAATGAGGGGGTGAAGAAACCAACGGGGAAATCACGGAATTGCAGCATTTGAATGGCCTTCTCGAACCTTCTCGAAAAGATTTGAAGTAACAGATGGGTGGGGACTCACGTGGGCGTGTGCACGAGGTACTTGAGTGGCGGCAGCGCGCGAAGCAGCCACACGGGCACAAACTCAAAGTTGCAGTGCCCCATGGCGTTCAGCCAATCACACGCCAGCCAGTACGCGTACAGCGCGCCGATGGACGCGCCGCCCAGCAGCCACGTGCCCACCACGGGCACGCACAGCAGCAGCGCGTGCCCGATCTGCTCCAGGAACGTGTGTACGTGCGCCGAGGTCGGTTCCGTCGTGACAGACGCGTGGTGGTGGCAGTGGTAGCTCGCGTAGAAGAACGGAGTGTGCATAAAACGGTGGCACCAGTAGTAGAGGCACTCCACGGGTCCCACGTGCAGCGCCAGGACTAGTGCTAATCCGGGCCAGCTGAAGAGCGGGAGGTTTCGCGCGCCTGGTAACCATTCGCGAAGGGCGGTGATCACGAGGGCTTGGAGGATGATTGCGTCGTCCCTGTTGGTGGCGGAGGGGGAGGGGGGGGGTGGGGTTGGGTGGTGAACGAAAGAAGCGATGAGGAAGATTTCGCGCGTCTGGTAACCATTCGTGAAGATTGGTGATCACCAGGCGCCTGGAGGATGATGGTGTCGTCCTTGTTGACGGGGAGGTGCGAACGAAAGAAGTGATGAGGAAGGTTTTGAGCGACTGGTAAACATTTGCGAAGGGCGGTTACCACTAGCGCCTGGAGGATGCCGTCGTCGTCCCTGTTGGGCGGGGGGGGAGGTACGAACGAAAGAAGCGATGAGGGAGCGATGAAATCGGTGCGCGACGCTCGCCAGCGCATTTCACGGTCGGATCGGACGGACGATGTTTCCATCCTTGACTTTTGAATTAGCTCTTGACGGCATTCAGAGCTGTGAGTTTCTAAACCGTCAACTTATAGCCGTCGATCAGCAGGTAATGTAGCCGTCGATTTGCAGCCGTCGATCCGGTACAATCACCGCGTCAGGGCCGTTTCAGAAAAAAAACCGTCCCTTGGTTGGTTCAAATAGCCACGCATCAGCGCGACTCGCGATCACTTGCTCGATTTTGACCCAGTTCTCTAATCTGAAGAGGTCGATCAGGTAGGGCGACCGCGACACGGCCTCTCGGATATGTAACTCCTAGGTCGGCTCAAACTCCATCCACCAGTGCGACTCCCGATCCACTTGCTCGGAAATAAATCACTTCTTCTCTATTCCGTAGCGGACTGATCAAATATGAGACCACCGCGACACGGCTTCTAGGACACGGCTTCTAGGTCACATATGTGACCAGTGCGTCACGGCTTCTAGGTCGCCTCAAACGCCACTCACCAGTGCGACTCGCGATCCACTTGTTCAAAATTAATCCCTTTCTTTTGTATTCTGTAACGGTCGATCAGGTACGGCCAGCGCGCCACGGCCATCCAGAGGTTGCCGTGCGCGAATCGCAGCAGCGCCAGCAGCACCATGTGGAAGCTCCACGAGTCCACGTCATCGCCGCCGTACAGGTGCGCGTGCACGGCTCGCGCGAGGAACGGCGCAAGGATCATATACTGCGGGGAGTGCGGGATTGGGTAGAAGGGAGGGAGTAGTTTTTTAGTTTACTCAAAAAACGTGCACGGTTCGCGCGAGGAACGGCGCAAGCGGGGAGTGAGGGATTGGGTGGGAGGGAGGGTGTGATATGGTTAGTAGGGTAAGTGGGGAAAGTAGAGTGAATACGCTGAAGGTTATGAGTAGTTTAATGAGGAGGACTACGAATCGGCGTTGCGTGTCAGGAAGCTCGACCGAAAGTAACGGTGAATGTGTCAGAATTGAAATTGCTTTCGAGAAAAAGGTAACAATTTTAGTTCCGAGACCTAAGGTACCGCTAACTGTGTCAGAATGGAGCTCGAAACGATCTTGATTATCGATTATGCCATGCTGGCCTTATGCCATGCTGGCCTTGCGCCATGCTGGCCTGGAGTTGCGCTCACCTTGAAGCCTCCCATCCACCGCCATGGGACGTGAAACAACGGGCCAGGCTTCGGTGACATTGTTTTCTGCTCAAAGCTTGTGCGCAACCCTTGGAGTCAGCTGACTTTTCTTGTATGAAGTGAAATGGCGCGAGAATGGATTATAGAGACAGCCTTCTGTTGCTCCTTTCGAAACCAGTGATAAAATAATAAATCGATGAAGTAAACGCCGATGCTGCTTTTCTGGAAATTGATCTGGTCCTGCGATCGTTATCCCCGTCGAGGCTACCAACAGCCCGTCCAGTCAGTCTACCACACTAATACTCGCGGTGAGAGATCGGTACACTGATCAGAGCGATGTGGAATGCCACGCGGCGCGCTGCGAAATAAGCCGTTCAGCTAGGGGAAGTGTGCTCCCTCAACTGACAAACGAGCTCCAGTCTGGGGTGTGGGTGAACGTGGAGAAATCTGAGGAAAACTACGAGGGGTTGAGCTGGTCTGAAAGAAGAACCCGAGGTCGCTTGTGGATGGAAAAGCACTACTACTCTCCAGTGGTTCGCCGAGCACCGCTTAGGAGAAATCAAGGTAGGGAGGAAGACGACCAGCCATGACCAAACGAGGCACCGAAGCGGTGAGGCGGGTCAGGGGGGTGCCTATTGTCGAATCCAGGCTGCTTTGTAGGCTCAGATGGGCTGATCGGATTGGACGATTAGGCTGCCACTAGGTCTTCGGGATTGGTTTACGGGTGTTTACAAAAAGTTATCCCGGCTTTTACAAAAGTGTTGAGGCAGCTGGCTGGTGATGGGCTGGAGGGAAACAGGTTAGGTTCCTCGTTCGGTTCGGGAAAAGGGGAGCATTCTCTGGAGGGTATAGCCAGCTTGAGCGGTGCGCTGTGGGGGAGGGGTGATGGAAGGCGTTCCACCACGAACAGAATGTTTTGCCGCGCTGACCTGACAACCTCCCACGCTCATAAATTCAGGTCTGCGGCGAAATGGTGCTGGTCTGTGAAATGTCGGTCTTTGCGATCGTTGCGGTTGATCACCCTAGTTAACGATCAATCCGACGGTAGATCGCTTTCAATATTCCAGGCCGACCGCCGACAGCTACCTCACCATCTTGTTACGGCGGCGGACAGATTGGTTTCGAGGCGACTCGGCACATCACGAAACAGTGTACAACAGTAAATCTGCTTTTCCTCACAGGTCCGGACGGAGAAGCAGGGCCACGACAATCTCCAGGCCTCCCTTCCCCATCACCGCCCGCACATTTCAAATCTGATTCCCGCGCTTTGCAGATTTCCCTGTTCGGTTGGGGGGCTGACCATCGCGCAATTCGGTTCGGCGTCTTACAGTAACTCTTGTACAAACCGCACAGTAATTCTTCCCCGAACCAGACTGTGTGCTGGGTAGAAAACCACATTTATCACCGACAACGAATCCGGACTCCTTCTTGGGTAGGCGCCAACGAGAGGCTCGTGTAGGAGGACAAGCACTGCGATGACCACATTCTAAATTTTGGCCAACGGCTCAAGGAGCAATCTCGGCCATTGAAGGGGCAGCTAATTCTCTCTGATGCACGCTCCATTTGTACGACTGACAACCGTCACAAACTTTTGATGGTCGTTTCTTTAGGTGGAATGTTACATAACCAAGCATGCACCAAACATAACCACACCATGAAAGGCCCCAGATTTGACAAGGGGGCTCCAACAGAGTGCAACGCCTTGCAATTCCCACTTACATGCAAATTATCCCTGGTGGGAAACCTGCGAATGCGATGGAAAATTAACAGACTAGACTAGCGGGTCCGATCAAGCACATGCTTTGTACCGCTGGCAAACAATCACCACTATTTTGTGTGTCTTGCGAAAATGGAGCAAACCCCCTTGCCAAATGGACTGAAACATCATGGCCATGAGATTCAGAGACAGTAGGCACACTAAGAGTGTGTTCCTACGGGCCCCTATTAGGCTGACCTCTGATCAGACTTGGTGCTTCGAGCGATTTCTTTATAAACACATATTTATGACGTGAGAAAAAACCAGTGCTGCGCGACGAATTGGTCGCGCGAAACCTTTCACACATGTGTGCTGTTTCGGCAAACCAGTGTCAGGAAATCGTTGAAACACGTGTGAAAAGACACTGTTTTGTCGGGTATGAAACACTCGAATACTTTTCAGTCCCCAAACGCACGTTTCAATCGCCTGTGACGTGTCAGGACTCGAGATTGTTCCTTAGCAATTTTGCGGGAGCGTTGTGCAGTGCCACGTCACCCACGAGTTTTGCAGAGCGCTTCGCCAAACAACAAGAAACTTTAATTAAAAGCCTAATTAATCCGTAAATTTAGTGTTTGGCTCGAGTCTGGCAAGAGGACAGTCTGACTAGAGGCAGTAGGAACACGCTCTAAGGTTGTTGCCTTCGGGCTTTGCCTTTTACCACTGCTTGACATGAATCTCATCGCACACACCCTGCTCTCAATCGTTCCATATCGATGCAACTCACTTGCTCATGCTGATGTCTGTCTGTTCAGGCCAATCATGGACTGTATAGCAAAGCCCTTTTGGCTGTAGGATACGCGATGCGAGGGTCTACTGCTGTGCCCTTTGAAACGCCTTAGAGTTGGTTGTCTGCTGCTGTCCCTGTGGGTCATACCACACCCTCCACACCATGGCATGGCCACGGCACACAAGAGTGGCAGCTGCAGTGTGTGAAGGGGCTGAGCGCCACTCTCACCAACCCCACCATAACACTCCCCACTCCCAACTCCCCCACTGTACCCCATCTACCCCCCTACCAACCTCTCACCATCCTACTCGCCCTTCACTTCACCTACTCCTCCACCCCTCCACCACACTACACTACCCACTCGCAAGCCCCATGCTCTCGCCCCCCTCTGCCACCCGAGCCCCTCCACCATCCTGTTCGCCTTCAACCTGTGACTTGCTCCTCCAGCACTCCTCGCCGCCTCCCCTGTCCTCCAGCACTCATCCCCCTGGCCACATGCCGTGTAAAGCTCAGCTCCAGCCACATGCCCTCCCCCGTGCCCAGGGCCACGTAACTTCATGCCTTCACAAGCTCACGTGCCTTCACAAGCTCACGTGCCTTCACAAGCTCACGTGCCTTCACAAGCTCACGTGCCTTCACAAGCTCACGTGCCTTCACAAGCTCACGTGCCTTCACAAGCTCACGTGCCTTCACAAGCTCACGTGCCTTCACAAGCTCACGTGCCTTCACAAGCTCACGTGCCTTCACAAGCTCACGTGCCTTCACAAGCTCACGTGCCTTCACAAGCTCACGTGCCTTCACACGCTCACGTGCCTTCACAAGCTCACGTGCCTTCACAAGCTCACGTGCCTTCACACGCTCACGTGCCTTCACAAGCTCACGTGCCTTCACAAGCTCACGTGCCTTCACACGCTCACGTGCCTTCACAAGCTCACGTGCCTTCACAAGCTCACGTGCCTTCACAAGCTCACGTGCCTTCACAAGCTCACGTGCCTTCACACGCTCGCGTGCCTTCACACTCTGCTTTTGCCACGGACTGGGTGCCTTCAAACTTGAATCGCACACCATGCACTCCCCCATGCCCTCGAAACCACCACATTGGCTTGCACCATGCCACGGCAGGGCATCCAGTGCCCCCATGCTATGGCAGGGCATCCAGTGCCCCCATGCTATGGCAGGGCATCCAGTGCCCCCATGCTATGGCAGGGCATCCAGTGCCCCCATGCTATGGCAGGGCTGCTCGCTCCTCTTACCCTGGGGGATTCAACCCCCCACCACTCCCCCTGAATCAACTCACCCTGGGGTTTCACCCTGGCGGATGCATGCCCCCACTATTGCCCCCCACTCACTTACCCAGGGAGTTTCAGGCCCCACTCATCCACCCAAGGTGTTTCAGCCCCCACCAACAACCCCCCCCCCCCCCCCCCCCCCTCCCGGCCCTCCTCTCACAACCATCACCCGCCTTACCTGCCAGCAGTAGAAGCAGCAGAAAGCCCACTTTAGGAAACAGCACCCCCAGAGGCGGTGCCTTGTGGGGCGAGGTGTGGTAGTGGAAAATTGCTTCCAGCCCAAGACTCAAATCCCACCCCTGACGTAGCCAGAGCTGACGCGAACCAGAGCCGCCGGCCGGTCGGCTCTGACGGTGTCCATTAGGCCTTGAACGCCAGATCGGTTACTTGAGCACCGAGTGCCGTGCCGCGCAGATTCCACCCACCACACCCCACCCACAACGCACAACCCCAGGAGATGCTGCCCCTAAGGCAGTGAACTCCCCGCTTGCTCCCATGCTCCCCACCGACCCACCCTACACTTCACCCCCATACCTGCTCACCTCTACTTACAAGAGCCATGCAGAGCGCCATGATGCTGAGGCTGCTGGGAAGGAGGGGTGGTGATTAGGAGGGGGGGTGATTAGGAGAGGGGGTGATTAGGAGGGGGGGTGATTAGGAGGGGGGGTGATTAGGAGGGGGGTGATTAGGAGTGGATGGGCAGGACTCCTCTGTGGTCCAGGCAGGGTGCTGCTGGGAGGGAAGGGAGGGAGAAGAGAGAGAGGAGGAGGTGAGTGAGAGGGTGGACTCCACTCTCCCGTCCTTACCCCAGTGCTCCCACCTTCAGCCTGCAGGAGGGGAAGAGAGAGAGGAGGGGATCAGCTTACCATACCTCACCTGTCATCATACTAAACCTGTTACCATTCCATACCTTGCACCATACCTTATCTGCAACTGCATCTACCCTAGTCTGCCCTTTAGGCCCCCAGTCCCCACTGCTGCTGCTGCTGCTGCTGCCGCTTCTGCTGCTGCCGGTCTGCTACTCTGCTTCCCCTGCTGCTGCCACGGTCCCTCCCCTCCCCTCCGCTGCTGCCCTGCTGCTGCCCCCTGCTGCTCCGCTACAGCCTTCTATGTACCGGGAGGGAAGGGAGAGAGAGGGAGGCAGGGGAGCAAGGGAGAGTAGTGAGAATGGGGAGAAGAGCAGGCAGAAGCATGAAGGCAGGGAGAGAGCAAGAAAGAAAAGTGAGCATGTCGAGAGGACCAAGCAGCAGCATGAGTGCATGGGGGAAAAGAGGCTCACCTTGTTCCAGACGACCCCATCCCGATACTCTCCCATTCCATCCCAGCCAAGTAGAGTGCTGCCCCCCTCCCCTCCCACCACTGCCACCTGCACGGCCACAGGGGAGGGGCGTGAGGGAGCGTCGGTGTTGACCCCACACCCCTCCCCGCCACCTGCAATGCGCACACACAGAGCTAGTCAGAGCGCGGTGGTGGGAGCAAGTTGAATGGGAAACTGTGACTTGAAATCCAGTGCAAGAGAAGGGAGGAGGAGCCACTGGTGGAGGCACGGCCACAAGCTGCAGACCCAAGGGCACCTGAAAAAAAACCTGAGGGGTGTACCTGCACCTGAAGGGGTTACCTGAAGTGGGGTCTGTAGCATGTGAACCGCGCTCAACCAGTGGCATTGTTTCAAAGGGAAGGGCGAAAGCACAACCGGCAAACGAAATGGCAGCAAGAAAGCAACAAGCCATGATGAGGTAGGCAAGGGTGAGGGCATGAAAGTGCGTGACTTAGCTGATAGCGTGAGGGCGAGGTCAAGGCAGCTGCAGCACCACCAGCTGCCTCCCTCCGCAGCAGCCCTCCTCCAGGTGCCTCCTCCCTGCACGGCCACAGGGGAGGGGCGTGAGGGAGCGTCGGTGTTGACCCCACACCCCTCCCCGCCACCTGCAACGCACATTGAGCTAGTCAGAGCGCAGTGGTGGGAGCAAGTTGAATGAAAGACTGCAACTTGAAATCCAGTGCAAGAGAAGGGAGGAGGAGCCACTGGTGGAGGCACGGCCACAAGCTGCAGACCCAAGGGCACCTGAAAAAGAACCTGAGGGGTGTACCTGCACCTGAAGGGGTGTACCTGCACCTGAGAGGGTTACTTAAAGTGGAGGGGTCTGTGGCATGTGAACCGCGCTCAACCAATGGCATTGTTTCAAGAAGCCGGTGCAACAGCAGATGAAACGGAAGAAACAGTATGGCAGGCAAGGGTGCGGGCATGGGGGAACGGGTACTTAGCTGATTGTGTGGTGCATGCGGAGCGGAGGGGGTGCTTCAATGGCGAGTGGGCAGGGCGAGCGGGGGTTGAAGGGACAGATCTGCGAGGCAGAGGAGAAGGAAGAAAGAGGTGGGAGATAGTAAGAGGCGGGTGTGAGGAAGCGACTGGCAGCAGTGTGAGTGCAAAAACAACAGTGCATGTGACGCCAACCACAACCCCACAAGAGCCGCTACCAACCTGAACCTGAACCTGAACCTGCACCTGAACCTGAGGGGGAGTGGGCTCGAGTGGAGTGTGGTGGCAGGGGCGATACTGCAACCTCAACCGTTGATGAGGCCCGGCTCTGCTGCCCCGCTGCCCGCTCTCCTGCTGCCCGCCTTGGCGGCCCCCTCGCCTGCTGCTCGCCTGCTGCCCTCCTCTTGGCTTGTGACGGCCTGGCAGAGAAGGGAGGACAGGGAGGGCAGGGCGGAAAGAAATGAGATGAAAGTAAGAGGGGATGGAATAAAGAAAAGTGTAGGACACAAGTGCAACAGCAGAAACGACAGTGCATGTGATGCCAACCACAGCCCCACAAGAGCCATTACCAACCTGAACCTGCACCTGAACCTGCACCTGAACCTGAACCTGAACCTGAGGGGAAGCGGGCTCAAGTGGAGTGTGGTGGCAGGGGCGATACTGCAACCTCAACCGTTGATGAGGCCCGGCTCTGCTGCCCCGCTGCCCGCTCTCCTGCTGCCCGCCTTGGCGGCCCCCTCGCCTGCTGCTCGCCTGCTTTGGTCTCCTTGGCTTGTGCTCGCCTGGCAGGGCAGAGGGGGGAGGGCAGGGATGGGAGGCGGGGAGGGCAGGGAGGGAAGGGCTGTGAGGAACGAGGTGAAGGCAGCGGGGGAGGTGGGAGCGTGAGAAGGGAATGGAGACTGCAGCGTGCGAGACGGCAGGAACAACAGGCGAGACAAGGGAGGGGCCACTGGTGGAGCACATCCACAAGCAACAGACCCCCAGGGGAGCCTGAGGGGGCTGTAAGGCTTTAAGGGGGTCTGAACCTGTACCTGATGGGTTTACCTGCAATGGGGGGTGCGGGTCTGTTGCTTGTGAGGCGGGCCCCAACCAGTGGCGAGTATTTCAGGGAGAAACGGTGAGCAGCAACGGTGGACAGCAAGCAAGGGAGAGTGGAGGGAGGAGAAGGCACTTAGCTGGAGGTTGAAGAAGAACCGAGCGCTGACGACGCGCAGACACCAATTTCGCCGTGCAGCGACGCGCACACAACGATTTCGCCGTGCGCTGACGCGCGGTCGATGATTTTGCAGGCGTTTCATCGCGCGGACGACGATTTCGCAGGGGTACGTCGCGCGGACGACGATCTCGCCATGCGACGACGCGCGGATTATGGTCTCGCCATGCGACCACGCGCGAACGACGGTCTCGCCGTGCGACTACACGCGGACGATTTCGATAGCGTCTTCTGTTGCATCTGAACGCAGACAATAACGGGGAGTGAGGAATTTGGGATGACAAGCAGCGACAACGACGCAGCAAAGCAGCAACAAGGACGACTCGTAGGGACGAGAAATGTGATTGTGGAGACTCAGCGGAGCAGCAGGGAAGGCAGTCCTGGAAACATCTCACTCATCGTGAGTCGTACCGAAGCATTTGCAGAAATCGTTATGATGAGCGCGACCAGAGGCCGGAGGACGGACGAAGCAAGGAACGAGGAATTCGCGTCGCCGCGACGGGAGCATCTGACGAGCGTGAATCGGGAACAAAGTAGTGCAAATCGGGAAAAAGGATCATCTGAGATGTGCGACAGCGAAACGTGAAATTTAATCGACAATGACATCTCGCGGCGAACAAAAGTAATTTGAAAGATCGTATTAATAGACTAACCTTGTCGGACGAACTATTAGGACATCATTGCCTCGTCGCCGTCTCGACAGCACTGAGAAAACGATTCCCCGCCGGAAAACGCAGCCAGCGAGCGACCACTAGAGAAGACGGTCGACGCGAGAACAAATCGCCGGCATGAAATTAGAAATCGTCGCCAGCGACAACGAAACTAGCGTCTAGAACCAGCCTCGAGCATGAAGAAAACGCAAAAAAAACGTGTGAAATGCTCTAGTCGAGAACCGAGTAGTACCTCCATTGAGAAGAAGTGAGATGGAGCGGAAAGAATGAGGAGATGGGTGTGTGTGCGTTGGTTTGGTTCGGTTTGGGACATTAGAAAGGGAATCGGCACATTAGATGGCCGTTTTGAGCGCGGTTGACATGGGTGCAAAGTGGTTTGAAATTGCTGTGTGTCTGCCTTCTCCCAGTTTTCTGCTGGGCACTCGCAGGGATGGTTCAGCACAACCCAGAGAAATCCCAACCAATCCCAAGGTGAACCAAGCGGCGGAGGAAGAAGCACCGCCAACAAGATTCGCCCGCGTTCCGCGACCGCGCATGATTTCCAACAAACGGCCAAGTGACGAAAAGCGGTTTCGACAAGCGAAATGGCACTAGCGACGCAACGGCTGTTTCGCTTCTGCGTACCGAGTTGTCTGCTC